GATCCGGGTGTCGTTCTATTAGAGGTTTTACGGTAAGTGGAACTACCAACTACTAACTGTATATTTTTCTGATCTAAATATTTCAAAATACAGAATGACAAATAAGTACATTTCGTACGCTATATCAAAACAGTTGTCAGATTTTGTCAGTTTGTTTTCAAATTTTGTCTCGATTGAAAGTTTGAGAGATTTTCTGGCACTGAGTAGAAACATTCTGAAAGTTTATATTTTTGTCATCAATCAGAAAAATATTTCAGTGATAATTTTGATCTTAAAGTTTCCGTATTGTTTTTGAGATTCTATGCTCATTTCTATGTTATTTTTTCTAAACTTCCTTGATGCAATAGAGATGATGCGTTTTTGAAACAACATCTGAAACATTCAAAAATGTGAAATACTGTATTTTAGGCAGAAGTCAACTTCAACCTTGTTCTTTAACATTTTGGAACGATAAATTGGCTCTATTATGATCTTCGTCTTTGAAAACTTTTTTTTCTTGAAGGGCTTTTATGGATAATTTTGGGCGTTTTTTGCATTTCAATTCAATTTTTGAGATTTTTGCCTTTATACAAGAATAGTCCTATGAGAAGTGAAAAGAATTTTTATTAAGTATTTAATAAGATTGTTAAAAGTTCGGAGATATACTGAATTAAGAATGCGTGAGTTTGAATAGTGGTCGTAGGTTTTTGTTAATCTTCTTCTTGTCCTAATCTTCTTCAGGATACTCATTCCCATTAGAATAGTCGACTTCATTACTTCCTTCCACCATATCCTGGTACTCGGTGTTTTCGATTGAATCGTTAATTTCGTAGTCCGATCCTTCTTCAGGAGGCGAAACAATTTCCACGCATAACAATTTACTTGCTCCTCTGACACTGAGGTACTGAAGACTGTCGAATTTGAAGCGGTAGTCGAAAAACTTGTACTAGAACTTATTGATAGTGCACTGAAAGAACTGCGTGTAACAGAAAAACGTTGGAAACTGAAACTCACTTCAATATCCGTCTCTTGCAGCTGGATATCTAGTTGAATAATATTGGGGATTGTCATAGGAATGTTTCTTTTTTCCTCAATGTCGAATTGATCAGCAACCAAGGAATTGAAAACGATAGTCTGAAAAATTACAATATTGGGTTGAAAGAAACCGCGACAAACTTTTTGTTGGGGCCGGAAAAGGATTACAAGTGGACTGTTCACAGGAGATTCATACATCGATGTGGAGTGAAGATATAGGTCAATTCTGGAATAGGATAAAGTGATTTCCATAGCGAAACTACAAAACTCACGGTCCACCGATAAACAGTTTGATATTTAGCGTTGTTCCAATTGTAACATCCGTGAGGTTATGCATCAGCAAATCTAGAGATGGTTCTTCTGAACGTGGAACAGGTATAGCTTTCTTTTTTGGTTTTTTCATATTGGTAAGCGTGTTTTCTATGTTGGAGAGCGTACGTTGTATATCGGAAAGCCTATTGACGGTATCAGCAGCAGTGAGCATTCCGGAGGCTAGATTCACTACCGGGTATGAAATTGAGTTTTTTGTAGTCATGAACAAAACCATGGTACAGATTAGCACTCTTGTATAAAATGAATTTGTGATTATCCGTCACAAATAGGATCCCGGCGGCTTGGAACTGTAATATAAATAGGAATTTGAAAAAATACACAACGCATCTGAAGAAGACCTTTGATGACATTCTTGCAATTACAACTCATTGACTAGCTCATTGTTTTTTTCACGCGATTGGACGACGTCTTCACATAGTCAATAAACAGCTTGAGAACATTGACAACTAACAGAAAACATTGATAATTCGATTTTAAATTTAAAGTAAATAAAATTAAATAAAAAACTTTTAAAAAAGCGTAATATAATAATAGAAACGCAAATAATGCCCGAAATTGTCAATGAAAAGTGTGCACCCCTTCAAGGAAACATTTTTTAAAGATCAACATTTTTTAAAACCAAGAGATAATAGATCCGATCAATATGTACTCAACTTCATTGAAATCGTCAAAACAATGCGTTTTATTTGAAAGATTTTAAGCTCTTGTTCATACTGATTGACTATTCCAGTGCCACAATAAGAATACCATATACCTCATGAAAAACTCTGTGAGTGATTTAAAACAAATTCATTCCTGTTTCCGGTTCCTGAGCTCCATTTTCCTTATCCCAAGTGCCATTTTTCTTGATTTTTTCGAAATTGTTTTACGAAAAACATTGATGATTGTTATAGTTTCATTATAAATGGGTTAGTAAGCTGTAGAACGTCGGTTATATGATTTTGCATCAGATAGATAATGGTATTTGAGTAAACTTCAATATAATTTGTAAAAAATAATAAATCGAGAACAAATTAGACAACCCGCACAAAAAGCAATATGTAAAATAGAAAAAAAACATGAGCGAATTATTATCATGATGTTAAATCTTGCTTTTTGATTAGGTCGTAGTATTTGCCTCTGAGGGACATGAGATGGTTATGGTTTCCAGCTTCTTGAACTTTTCCTTGATCAATGTACACAATCAGATCTGAATTTTGGATCGAGGACAATCGATGAGCTATTGTGATGCAGGTGCGGCCTTCACGAGCACGATCTAATGCTTCTTGCACTGCCTAAAAAATTTATATTCCTTTTTCTACTTTTTAGAATATGTATACTAACTCTTTCAGATTCAGAATCCAATGCGGATGTTGCTTCATCTAGTAGCAGGATCTTTGGGTCTCGCACTAACGCTCTGGCAATTGCAATACGCTGTTTTTGCCCTCCAGATAGCTGCGATCCCTTCTCTCCAACCTCAGTGTCAATTCCAGACGGGAGATTTGCCAAGAATCGAGACGCATTCGCCAGTTCCAATGCTTGGTTAACTTTTTCAATTGGTACCTGAAGTTTCTTAATTTTTATAACTTGATTCTCATCATCTAGACTCACATCTTTCAAGCCGAAGCACACATTCTCTCTAATAGTTCCAGCAAACAATCTGGGTTCTTGTCCAACTAAAGCCATTTGAGTTCGGAGATGGTGAAGGGAGAGAGTCTTGATATCCTGTCCGTCGATTCTCAGTGCACCACCAGAGACATCATAAAACCGTTCTAGCATCGCGATACACGTACTCTTTCCAGTTCCAGATGGTCCCACAAGTGCAACTGTCTGTCCGTTGCGAGCAGTAAAATGAAGATCAGTCATAACCGGGTGCAAAGGTCTTTGGGGATAGGAAAATTTGACTGATTCAAACAAAATATTCCCACGGATATCCAACTGATTTCCTTTCATAACATCTCCGGTTTTCGGTTTTCTATAGATCAACTTGAAAAGCATTCCAGCTGCTGTTTTGGCTTTTACAAACTCAGGGAAGTTGTGAGATGAGTGCATGACAGCTACTGATCCCATCATCATTGAATTGATTGCTCTGAATATGGTTTTCAGTATTTCTATTGTAAATCATACTACATTTTTTTTTCTAACCTAGACATCTTGATCAACTAGAGAAAAGTAAGAAAAATTACTTATTGACCCACCACCCTCATTTTTCGATCTTCGACATACCGAAAGGCGCCATTTGGGTCAACAATGCCATTGTACATGAGTGGAGTTCCGACCGCATAGCAGACAAACATTGCAAAATACATGAACGTTTGGGAGATGGCGTTGTTTAGGGCTTGAATGTAAGCTTTCTTCATTTCACTTTTATGTTGGAGCTCGAGAGCAGTAGTGTACTCAGTCAAAAAATGCTCGGTGCTGGTTAGAAGTTGAATAGTCTTGACATTTTCCACGATTTCAATGGCAATCTGAAATAATTAACGTTGACTTGGCCCAACTCCTTAACTCACCTTTCCAGCTTCATCTCTCTTGATCTGTTTCAAATTAACTCTCGCGATTTTGTAAGCCATACTAATCATCAACAGAGCGAATAAAGCAATCATTACTGTTCCTACAACAGCTATTTGCCAACAACAAGCGTAACCGGTGACCAAATTGATAGTGATAGAGGTCATAGAATAGATAACTTGAAGCATTCTGGTATCCACGACAGCTTTCACATTTGGAGCATCAGTTGCGAGTCTGGTGATGAGCTTTCCGGGAGCGTGAGCTGGGTTATCGAAAAAAGATGCGTCTTGATAGAGAAGGTTCTTGAAGGATTGAACGCGGAATTTCAGTCCTAAGTTTTCAGCAACAATTGTGAATAGTGTGCTCTAAAGTATCTCAGAAAATTAAATAAAAATTCAATAAAATGCACTTACACTGAGAACTTGGGTGATGAACACATAGAGTCCGAGACATCCATATAAAATGAAAATGATCACAAGTTCTCTAGCCATTTCTGCATCAGGTTTTTCAAATGCCTCAAACACATATCCGAACATAATAGCTAGAAGTGCAAGTTCCGAGCCTCTCATGATAGCAAAAACTGTTCCCATTGACAAATACCAGTAGTTTCCTTTTGCATTTTTGAAAATATCATAGTATCCAGATGTAATAACACCATCCTCCTCCATTACTCTCTGGACTTCTTCAGCAAAATCTTCATTTTCTATATCATCCTGTGCTTGTTTGAGGTTGAAGCTGTTGAAAGCACTGGCGTAACCAATTTCTAAATCCGCACTGGCCAATGATACACACGAGCCGTGGTAGCTGACTTGTCTTGATGGCATTTGTTTCTCACTGAAACTCAATTTTTCGTTCAGCGAATTGAAAAAGAATATATGTTCAATTGAAAGGGCGTAAAACTTACATTCTGGCTGTTATGTCTTCTTCAACATCGTCATCCACCTCATCTGCCTCTTTGAACTGTTGAGCCTTAACAAGAGCGGCATATCGTCCTCCTAGAGCCACCAATTCGTCATGAGTCCCACTTTCAACAATTACTCCACTTTCGAAAAATACAATTTTATCGGCTTCACGGATTGTTGAAAGTCTATGAGCAATCATAATAGTGGTCCTTCCCTTGGACGCATTGTTCAGTGCAGATTGCACCACACTTTCAGATTGAGCATCAAGAGCGGATGTGGCTTCGTCGAGCAATAAGACTTTTGGATCACGAATCAATGTTCTTGCAATCGCAACACGTTGTTTTTGTCCTCCCGACAGTTGCACTCCACCATCTCCAATTACTGTATCGTAACCCTTTGGCATTTTCAAAATGAATTCATGAGCATTTGCCATTTTGCACACTCTAATCATGTCATCTCTAGTTGCATTGGGATTTCCAATCAACAAATTGTTATGGATGGTACCACTGAATAAGATAGGCTCCTGTTGCACGATTCCCACAACTTTTCTCAGCCAGTCAATGTTCAGATTTCTCACTTCATGACCGTCAATCATCACTTTTCCATCTTCTTGTTCGTAAAGTCTAGTTAACAATCCAACAGATGTCGACTTTCCACATCCAGAGTGTCCAACAAGTGCCACAGACGTTCCTGGCTCGATTGTGAGATTCAATCCGTTCAAAACCTTTGCCTTCTTTCTGGTTGGGTATCGAAAGTGCACATTCTCAAAGACTACTCTTCCAACAATCTTGTCGATCTTTTGACCTTCATTGGAATAGGCATCTATTTCAGGAACCTGCAGACAACATCAAAATGTGTTTGCTACTTTACATAATTTTTGTGACATACCCTGTCAATAACCTCATAAATCGTCGCTGCGGCAACTCTTGCGTTCAATAAAACCATTAGGTGCGGAGAGATGAGACCCAGGAAGTAGGCACCAATGAGCATGGAGAACACAACAATGAAAACGTCTCCAGGGTTTTCGATAATCTTCCAACGAAGAAGTTGACCACCATAGAAGATGCCACCACCAAAATAAGTGAACAGAATCAGAAGAAAAATTCCACCAAAAAATCCACCCCACAATCCTTTCTTGACCGCATAAGATTTTCCTTTTCCCAGTTCAGCAGTGTACCTAAAACAGAATTTATGGTAAAATTTCATCGATGCGAAGATGAAAAAAAATATTGCACCTTCCAACCATCTCTTCCTGACCATTGAACGCCTGTACTGTTCTGACACCCATCAACGACTCCTCTGCAATACTTCCAGCTTTTCCAACGTCTGCTAATTCTTTCGATGTGTATGACGACATTGACTAAAACCTCATTATTATGAATATTCGAAAAACAATCCCTTACTCTGGACATCAAAGACATGCAAATACAACACAATGGTCCGATGCCCATCATCATCAGTGCCAATCTCCATTCGTAGAACAACGAAATCACAATTCCAGTTCCAAACATCACGATACCACGGATTAGGACTCCAAGCTTATCTCCAATTCCTTCATGAATGCGCTCCATGTTGCTGAAATACTTTTTTCTCATAATTTTTCATTTAAATAAGTTTTAATCCTACTCATGTAGTTTCGTTGTCAGCGTTCCCGAGTGATTCTTATCAAACCAACCAGCATTCTGACGTAGAATTGATTTGATGTATTCCTCTCTCAGTTTTGTCACAATTCGAATGCAAACATTTTGAAAGCACATATACTAAAAATATTATCAGAATCATTGAAAACAATAATTTGATTAGAATAGGATACCTGAATGAAATTGATTATGAGAACTACAACTCCGATGCCTCCGAAAAGATAGACGTTCATAAGTGCACTATCCAAAAACTGAGGGCTAGTGACATTGTACACAATCAGTGTATTGGTCATTCCACCACTAGAAATATACAGTTTTCTTTGAATTTAGGATATAAATGACATACGCAATGACTCCAAGACCTGGCTGAGCAACTCCGGACAGAAAAGAAAGAAGTATTCCGATCAAAAGAATGATATGGTCCCTTCGTTCAGCAAACCGGAACTGAAATGAATTTCATTTCTGGGTCAGTTGCAGCTACTGTACATACCAATCCCAAAAGTGTCACTGGTTTCACAGACAGCTCCCGTTTGGCTAAATCTCCACGGCATAGCATATAATTAATAAACTTTTCTAAATGTGACGGCTCGTACACAAATTTTGGTTCCTCATCGGAATCGATGGACACCACATCTTCCAGATCCACAGTCTGCATGTATCCAGGTCAAAAATATTAATAAGAAACGAGCTTACCTGATTTTCTTGTTTCTTCTTCCCCACTTCTTCTCCGATTACATCTGTTGGCGCGATTGCGTCTCCATTCTTCCGCCACTTCATAGTTAACCTTTCTCAGAAGAATTTTATAATATTCCAGGATTTTTTTCTGAAAACACTTGAAAAGTTTGTAGAGTTTGTAGATACTTGAAAAGTTTGTAGATTATAAAACGCTGGAATTTCAAAAACTACTGCACTTTTAAATCATTTGGAAAAAAGGTTGGACACATCGCACATAAAACACGATATTCAAATTAGATTGAATTTGGGTGCCAGAAAAAAAAATCGTCGGTAATAATGTATGGAAATCACTTTCGAAATAATGCGAACAGGGTGATCTGAAACTTGATAGACGAAAAAAAATTGTGATTCGTGCCCTTCCAGACTTCCGTACCGATTTTTTTTCTATCTCTCACTCGCGGAAGAGATCATCGTAACAACAAAAATCAGTAGCGCAAAATTGCACAACATTGACAGAGACTGATATCATTACACTATCTCGCGAGTTCATCAAAAACAGTCGGCAACAAAAAAACTGGCACATAATGATGTGATAAAATTTGATTTTCACACCTTTGAATTGCAAAAAGCATCAAGAATTAACTTTGGTAATAAAACTTTTGCAACATTTTTTGTTATCTTGAACGGAAATAAACAATTAATGTCTTTGATCTATTTGGTTTCATTTTTGAAAGTTTGATTGACTGTAGCTGTATCTTTGATGTGGTATGAAGAGCACTAAACCGTCTCTGGAAAAAGGGGAACGAAAAAAAAAGAACTTGCCTGAGATTTATTCAATCTATTTCTTGGAACACAAATTACATTTAAACCCGTATTTCGTCTAATAGAAGCCCACTATCTGACTGACGTGCTTAAAAACATAGAAGCGCATCCTCTAACAAACGTACGGACAGTTCAGTTAGTGCAGTTTGAACAGTTCAGTTCTTCTATTCGGTTATTGTAGACATTTTCTTTCTATTTAAAAAAATTTCTGGTGATTTCAGTTTTTGGTAATTTCCTAAAAACAAGTTGAAAAATAGAAGCCCATGGGCTTCAATTAGAGGAAATACGGTATCAAAGATTCTATTGTACTGTGGATGGCCGGCACAACTATAATAATTTTTCAAAATTTTGTTTTTGAAAATATACTCAAGTTTTTATTATGGAACAAAATCTGATCCAAATTCACACAAACGCAAAAAAACAACAGTTTTTACGAAAATACCGTAAATTGTTCTTCACAAGATCATAAGGTACTTACTGAAGCTCTACACATATTTTTTGGAAAATTCAAACAAATATTCATTATTTCGAGGCGAGATCTTTTGAAGTTCTCCGTTGTGCGCCTACAATATTCGTAAAGGTTCAATTTGAAACTTTAAAAGCGGACCGTTCAGACATTTTTTGCCACAATCATGGTTTTTAGTGGGTCCGTCAACCGAATCGTTTCAAGAATTGACATTTCTTGTTTTTTTCAGTAATAGAAAATTTTATTAAAAACTATTCAAAATTAAAAAGAAACTTCTAGTTAGATTTTTTGTTCAAAATGTACATTGCCACTGATTGAGACTGTTTCAATTTGACTTTTGAAATGGAATTTGACGCTTTATAAAGTTTTGAAAATGACTTTGAAATCCATTTTTCTCTTCAACCAAACTTTGTTTTTTAATGTATTTTTTTCCATTTCTAATTTTTATGCTTTTTTTTAAATATCTTCAATAAATTTGTCCTCAAAAGAGTTCATGAAACCTGAAGTTCCCTTTTCTCTTGTTTTTCGATCTTCTGTACTAATATTATCGTCCATGAGACTGTTTCTGTCCTCCCGACACAAACTCCATGAACAACTAGGAACAATAATAAATTCAATATTTTGTCATCGCTTTCATTTTTTATCCTCTTCCTTCCATTCTTCATTCATTTTTAATGATTTTACGTCCAGAACAGAAAAAAAGGCTACTACATTATTTTTTTTCTTTTTTTTATCAGTTTCCCATCTTCTATTGACGAAGCTAATCAGAAGAAGAGTGTTTTCTTGACACGGAATACTCTCTTTATTACATATCTTGCCAATCTATCCACATAACGTTTCTTCCTTGTTTTTATCAGCATAAGTTCATTGCTCATACATCACATCCGTTTTGAGAATGAATTTCGTTCTCTTTTCTCGTGTTAATTATTTCCTGATAAGTCAACATCCGCACTTGTCTGAAAAATGTGAAGGCGTGTCTGTGATTTTCCCACGGTATTCTTTAACCAATCAGAATGTCTGAAACGTAGCAGAAGACTACTGTAAGATTTTTAATCATCATAAAAATTCCTAGAAATTCCATTTTACGATTTATTGACAATTTTCAGACAGACATATAAAAAACCGGATCAAAACAACTAAGCATCGGTTTGAAAAAAAAATGGTACTACAAGAAAAAAGAGAAGTGGGAGGAAGGGAAAAGTTCGAGAACGACAGAAATTTTGATTTTGTTTTGGGATGGAGAGAGAAAAAAGAATGAAAACGAGAAAGAGATCAAGCAGCAAGGCTAAGATACCAAATAAGATGCACAAAAAATGGGACAGGTGAAGGAACATGTAGATAAACATGACAAAACAGCAAGAAAAAAGTCTTGTATCACATTTTTGGTTTGGGAGAAGCAATGATGGGCGAAGGGTTTCAGCGGAGCATTGTCTAATAAAATGGGAGACCCTACAAGCAAAAAAGTTCGGGACACTTGTAAAAAGCGGACGGTGAAGAAAAAGTCAGAAGAAATGAAAAAGTATGTGGTCCGAACTATCACGACGTCATTTTGGAAAGGTTTTTGATATTACATAAACAGAGACAGGGCTTAAAAGAAAAAGTGTGAGTACAGTAGGACAGAATAATCAGAAAAATAATCTTGGTTGATGATTCGATGTTGGTCCGTGGGGAAGGGGCATAACACGAGCACTACCAGGGACAAATTTCTGGAATTCAAGGAAAAAGTGTACAGAAAATTTTTGAGAAAATGTCTAGTTGTTGTTTTGGGAGACATGGAAATGTTGGGTTTTTGAGAACATGGACTTTTGGAGTTTGAGAATAATCCAAATGGTATTAGAAGAATTAAAGGAAAAGAGCAAGTTACAACAGAAGCTACAGAAATTCAATCAAATTACAGCAGAAACTACAGTAAAATTCTGATGAAGATTTTGCATTTTCAGCAAGAAATTGATGGAAAGTTGTTCTAAATGAATCACATGAATAGAAAATGTGAAGAATCAAATAATGTACAAGATGGGAAAGAAGTACATGTGAACAGACAGTCAAGGAAATGTCGGAAACATGGATTTCAGTGACAGAGAAAAATCAGAATAGGAATGTTTTCGAAAATTATTCCAGATTATCACTGACTGAGAAGAATTGGATGAACTTTGTTTCAGAATTGTGCTAAACATCAAGTTACAGTCCCCTTCAAAACTATTCTAAAACAAAGAAGTGGAAGCCAAAATAACAGGTCAAGATGGGAAGAACTGTTATGGATTGATGGAAACGTTGTTGCTGGTACCAGTTGCTGTGCCGACGATCAATTTAAACGGCCTCCTCTTGGACTCCAAAGTTGGCAACGCAGGCCTTGTAGATTGGCGAGGCCAAGAAACGTGGGTAACTGTCGCGTTGCATGAGAGTGTAGATTTGTCCCTGAGCATCGTCGAAGGTGGAAGCCGATGGACGTCCCATGTTGGTGTTAACGATCTCACGAACGCGTGAGTCCAGGGAGACTTCCTTTGGCGAGAGGATGGAGATGAAGTCTTCGTAGATGATGCGAGCCTGGAAAAAGAGTGATAAGTTCGATGGAAGCTTGCCAGATTACTAATGGCAATCTTGAGCTTTTGAACTTTATGAATGTTCTATCTACTAATCCATCATAAAACCGACGGAGGCTTATTCACTCATCCTTGAAAAAGAGATGATACTAACCTTCTCTTCAATTTTCTCCGCGTTCTTCTCGCGCTTCAATTCCTCGCACGCCTGCCAGAAAAGTATGTTCTCATCAGAGTACTCCCCTTTGAGAAACTCGGCGAAGTACTTTTGTCCAGCTGGAAATAATTAGTTAAATGATTGGAGAGAGAGAGAAGTTTGGAATTTTTCTTACAGCGATGTTTCATGAGATTTTCAAACGAAAGAGACCATCCGTAGACGACTTCGTAGGTGACTCTGGAAGAATGCGGAACGTTGTTATCTGTTTTTTCTGACAAAAATAGATTTTGCAGACAGGTTTTGTGCTCTTCTATATTTTTTTTTATTGCTCAATGTGCTCAAAGTGTATATCAATCAATCCAGAAAATCTCTCTCTCTCAGGTGTTTTTGTCAGTGTGTCCGATTTGGTTAATGACGTAACATGTCTATTCAGGTGATATGCATTGCTTTTTTCTCTTTTTTGTTTTCTCGTGGCCCCTTGGTTCACGTTATTGGCAGTAGCACTCATGTACACTCTCTCATAGACATGTTGTATTTTTTGAACACGCCATTCAAAATTGTAAGTTGTAAAGTATGCATCTAAAAATACATTTGTCAATGGCGAGCCAATTCCTTGGCAACATCGGGAGGAAAAAATCTAATCAGTAGCGTGGTATAATATGATTGATTTCCTAATTTTTTTGGTTTCTCGTTAAGTGACGTTGTCATTTACGAAGGACTACGTTACTTTTCATGAATTCAAAATTTTTTCCATTGTTTTTAGATTCACCTGTTGTACTTGGAACGGAAAAAAAATCTAGCCCTCCGTAGTAAATCATTTTCGGATACAAAACAAAATTATAGTGGATTCGCGTCAATCAACTTTTGATTCTACCATAATCTGGAGTCATTATTATTGTTTTCCTCCACAAAATGAATCATAAAATTTTTACCACCGCCACAATAAAAAAAAGCAGTGGAAAAACAAAATTTTACTCGCTCAAATGTGTACAGTAGAAATCAAAATAAAAATTGTTATATTTCTCACGCCAATGTGTAATCAGCTATAGCTCAAATAAAAGAAAAAATAACTTACGGGCCATCGTTGTCTGCAGGTTTTCTTTCTACTGAGACGCTTCCGCTGAAAATGAAAATACATTTAAAATATGAAACTTGAAAGTAAATGATTCCTGAATACCAATTAATTCAACCCAACTCACTCAACACTAGTTCGAAAACAGTTCCGCAGAACTGCTCCCATTTTTTCACCACAATTACACAGGAACCCTATTTCGACAGCGGGAAAGTCACGAGTGCAATTTTGGGAATTTCAGAAATAAAAAGAAGCGGAATAAGAATCGACGGCTCCCCCCGAATTCAACTTCGAATGAATGAAGTGGATGTCGATGAATAATTGATATAGAAGTGACAGAAGCGCAAGTGCTTTGGATTTGGATTTGATGTGGCTCTCTGCTCTCCAGGCGAAAAAATGGGGAAAAGGCTTGCTTCGAGAAGGAAAAAAAAAATGAGAAAAGGGTGTCTTCTTTCCTTGTTTTTTCTCTCTTTTTCCTCTATTTTTTCTTCTCTTCACAGAAAATAACTAGTTGAAGCCGTCAGGAAAAGTGGATAGGCGGAGCCGGAGCAAAGTCAGTCCAAGTGCAAAAAAGTCCGTAATGAATAGGTTTTTCTTCTTCTTGTTTTTTTCCCTCCTTTCTTTTCTTTTAGTGTCCAAGTGAAGAGAAAATTAGAAGCTTTGAAGGAGGTGTTTGAAGAATTCTCTCACGTGTACTTTTTTGAAAGAGATGATGGCACAAAATAAAAAACGCGCTAGGAATATAGGATTAGAGGATGTCTATGCTAGTAGTGTTTCTTTGACACAGAGTCAAGAATTAATCGTTTCGGTCATATGCTTCTGGATATTAGCGAATGAAAGAGAAGCCAAGCATATGGGATTGGCAAGAGCAAGACGAATGAGCTCTTTTTTTCCCGCTGCTAGCACGCCACTTGATTGAAGATGTATCAAATTGGTAGCAAAGGGCAAATGGCATTTTTTGACATTCGCAAGATTGGAGAATTGAAAAATTGAAAATTTTTGAAAAACATGGGAGATGTATTAGACTTTTCAATGAATTAAGGTCAATGTCATCTGATGTACTGTAAGGCCAAGAAATCAAAATTTTCGGACACAAAAAACATTTTCAACTCCCACGGATAGAAGACGTCAATGGGAAAATTCATATTTGGACCCGGACCGGATACTTCTCGAAGAAAAATTCAAGACAGCTACCGAAAGGGCTTTCCCGCTGTAATTAAATTAATACCGTTTCTAAAAGTATAAAATTATTTTCTCAGGACATTCAAATCTATAAGGATCCGGCATTTTTTGTATTTATAAGGAGACGTTGCTGAGTTCAAAGTTCTAATATCTGATTTATGTACTTTGATAAACATTGCATCGTTCAATGAGTTCAAATCATCGAGAGAGTAAGAGTCTACCCTACGGAGGAGCAACTTGAAATTTGATATTTACTAAAGCAGAAATGTGGAGTGAAGAATCAAGGTCCTTACAACTTGATTTGAAATTATTCAAAGAAAAAAATTGAACGGAAATGGTCACAAAATTGAAATTCTATACCTTCGAAATCTGGTATAAGCTCGAAACCACACGGCGAGTTTCGATTGAAACGGCATAGAGAGATGAATGAAATGAATGGAAAGTGTTTATGTTTTTCTGACAGATATTATAATTGGAAGATGTTATCTTCTATCTAACAGCTCTTCTAGGTAGCTGAATGAAATAGTAGAGGGAGGGGTGGGGTTCTGATATGAGATGTACACAATAAGCATACAAATGAGCGCTGAAAAACAAGTCCGGTGTTCATTGAGGATGTTGTTAATGCTTGAAATTATTTGATAATGCATTCATTAACCTACTTTCGACGACCCTTGAAGCAACAACAGCAACCAGAGAATGCCACAAAAACTTTTCTGATCAATAAAGGGCCAGAAGAATTTGACTCGTCTGACATGATGCTCTAATTCAGATGTTAGGAATAAAAGTTAAAGAATAAGAATATAAGACGTTTCTGACTTTTGATATCAGTTTGAATGGTGGTGGGAAGTGGTGACTTTCCGAGATCACGAGCAGCTTCGTGGGACTGATTCCCACCTAGCAATTTGCTCGATATTTTTCTAGAAGTCGTTTTTCTGGCCGCTTTTTTGATATGGAATATTTAGTTAGAAAAAATGCTAGAGGACAAGAGGAAAGAGTCTGAAAAGGATGGGAGTGTCTCTACGTACAATTAGAATCTACTTCATGTGCCAGGCAGTGAGACTCTGCTTTGATAAATCCCGCTTAATCTTTTTATCTTTCCTCAGTGATTTTAAATTTCAGCAATGGTAATCTCTCCCTGTTAACCTTAAGTTTATCTGTTGTTAACAATAGAGGGAATTAATGAATTTCCTATTTTCTGATTAATATCTTATCATACCACAAATCCGGACACCATTGGCTGCTTTTCTTCTTTTCCATTGACTAACAAATCAGAACTATACCTGGAAATTGGAAACAATGGGATGGTATGAGCGGAACAAGGAAGAAATGAAACAAATGATTAATTGCAAAATTTTCTGAAGATAAAGTTTGATTGCTCAACTAGTCTATCAAAAAAAAAGAGGGATTCTAAAGAAGGCCCATTAACACACGCGAACTGTTTTCCGGAATGAGATTTTTTTTTAGAAGAGATACGTCACTAGAAAAAAAGAGCATTGTCGCAAAAAAAGCAATAAAACATCAGTTTTTCTGCAAGTTTTAGAGCTCCCTCACAAACAACGAGGACTCCTCGCATTGGGTTATGAATTTCCAATGTTTTTATTTCTGTTGTTTCCGAATAAAGAAAACAACGGATACGTTTTGAAGGATTATCATGGTTTTCGAAAAAAATGTATGTTTCAAGTCATAAGGCAATGTTTCAAGGTACATAAATATGATAGTTTAGTCAGAGAACAATCTTATGGTACAGGTGATTTTCTTCTTGAAATTTCGATTGACCTTTTTTTTGAAATTCCTGTTCTTGATGAGCTCGTTACGTACAAAAAAAAAATCTAGTTGTCCACCTACACCTGAACGGACGATCGGCTACCCATAGTCGCTCCGACGATAGTACACGAAGAAAGTTAAGAACCGCAGGATATAGAAGATATAATACTTTGGAATGGAAGTTGCTGTCAGATCAAGAGGTCTCTCGTGAGAACTCAGGGCAGAAGCAAAAGGGGAGGAGTGAGATGGATATGGAGGAATGTGTATGTAGGGATTTGTACCTGATAAATATGTTGAACTTGAATTCACAAAATAGAAGTATACATGCGCTTTAGTTTTTTACGACGAAGCTTGCAAAAATAAGGATTTAAAGCTATCCCCCACGTGGTTTAGAATATCAAGCTCACCTGTGTTTTTGGCCCATAAAAGTACAGTCACACGAGAGTAACCGCATAAGTGTGAAACCACCTCTCCTCAAAACCTGCTGATTTACGCGATTAGAGTTTCTTTTTCAGCCTCACTCTCCAGAAGTCTTATTAGTGACGACAACTGTGTGACGATGAAGTAGTGGAGACCAGAGGGACAAGGAGCTTTTGGAATCAATGCAAAAATATATAAGAAAAAAAATGAAGGAGAGACGTGGTGATGGGTGTAGTGTGTAGAGAGACTAGAGTATGTGACGGACTCTTTTTTCTCTTCGCCGTTTTTTTTTCTCCTTCTTCTTCTTCAGCTCCCCTAGTTCTCCTTCCCACACCGCTCTCACCGCCCCATCCCGAGAGCCCGCCTCTCCCCTTTTGATTCCTTTTCCTTTCCGCAAGACCATTCCCCTCTCTCGTCTCCGCGCCTCCTCTATATTTTTGAGCGTTTCCTTTAAGCCTCCTCACCTCTGGAGCAGCACAAACATGAAAAGGATCGGGAAGATGAGAGTGCACCCAGAGGGTCAGACGAGAAACACAGTCAAACTGTTTTCCTCTGTATTTTTCGCTGTTCGAGTCAGGAAACGGATTGGAACGAGGAGGAGAGGGAGAGAATAGGATCAAAATGAGAGAGAAAGGAGAGGGGGGGGGGGGTGATGTGAGCACAGTATTTGGATAGTTATATGGGAGCACACCGCAAGAGAGCTATGCTAACAACCGAAATGTCTCAGTGACTATCACATTACATATCATCATCATCCAAACGATACCAAGAACCTGGAAAAGATATCCACTTTTGCAATGTCGGGGCAAAAATGATGGGAAAGTGTTTTTAAGACAGTTAGGTTTTTTTAAAAACTTCAGAACACACTTCTGGAGAACAAAAAGCAATAATTCGTAAGGTTGAAAAGTTTGAATTCTGAAAATTTGCAGGTTGCGAAAAGCCTACCGAAAGTGCTCTAATAGAACGTCACCCAAACCGTCAACTTTGAGCCCAAATATCTCGGTTCCTGTGAAAGATATCGAAAAGTAGCTTACTGATCAAATGTTTCTGGGATTAAGATAAACATTTTATCAATTGAGTACTGTTTTATATTTTTCAATAGAACCGAGATACTGGGCTTAAAATTGACGGGTTGGGTGGCGTTCTATTAGAGTGTTAACGGTAATTCTTTTCATGTATTATCGTCGGAGCGATTATGGCAAGCCGATTGTGCGTTCAGGTGTAAAAAATGGTTTTTTGATATTTTCCCGTCTGTAGCTTGTGATGGGCTTATCGAGATTACGAATTTCGAAAATTGGCAACAAAGTTCAATCGAAATTTCAAACACAAATCAGTTGTACCACGCGTCTCTTTTAAAGTTTGTTTTCTGATGAAACTATCACAATTTCATACCATGAAACCGCCTTTCTAAAATTTTATAGGTTCCAAAAAACAACATCCAAGTGGCTGAATCGAAAGATGAAAAGTGTAAAAGTGAATTGGGGCAGGCAGACAGTTCGATTCAGTATATTGGAAACTAACGTCCGTGCGGCGGCATAGAACAAACATCAAACGGAGGGCAAAGTTTGGCGCGACAGTTTCCATATCGATTTCAAAAACGATTGCCAGTTTCCGTTACTCAATTTCTTTTTTTTTTTTGCAAAAAAAATTATGTATCGTTAGTTTCTCCATTCAAATCCGGCAGCAGAAAAAATTTATGACATGGATAAATTCAAATTCTAAAAACGGAAGTAATTAAAAACCTATGTTCTTGTATAGGTTTTATGGTCTAAGAAGGAGAACTATGAAAATCTAAATTTTTAGCTGAACAATTAGCTCAACGGGAAACGCAAACTAACAGAGAATCGATTTTTTAATAGATTATAAAAACTTGAAAAAAATGGTGTGAATTCAACGATCTGGAACGGGAGAAAATCCAGGATCCTTTCTAATCTACCATGGAATTAGATTTTTCTCTTATCCTTGTTTTGTCATTCGTTTTACTGAAAATACGAACAGAACACAGAACCTTGAAAAAAATATTCGTTCGTTGGCAAGACTAGTACAACCGCTCCAATCTAATTCATTGAATAATCCTATTTGGCGCTGTTAAAAGATTTCTGATCATTTTTTTCTCTTACATTAACTGGGAGCATAGACTTGATCGAGGTGGAGATGGAGTTCGTGACAAAGGAAGAGCCGGATGTGGATCCGATCGAATCTCCGCAAACGTTGCTGGATGGCACGAAAAGTTTCGCGAGAAACATGAATGAGCCATAGTTATCCACAGAATACAAAAAACTTTTTGATAGCCGAAAATCGATAGATATGAGCTGGATTCAACCAACCTTTCTTGGGTTTTTACTCACATAAAATGAGAAAGTGAGCATTCGGGATGGCGGGAGACAGGTGAATTTGTTTTTGCGAGAAGTGGCTCGTGTAGAAGTGTTTTTGAATAATTATTGCCATTTTACGCAGCGCTGAGGTGGAAAAAACCTAGAAAAGAGAGTAGAGATGGCCGTTTTTCTTTTTCCGTTCCAGATCAATTAATTTTATTTCAGACAGGATCTTATTCCATATTCCGGATATCGATCCTACAAAAAGTCCTTCCGTACTCTGCTCCACATTTTCAGAACGTTATTTTCTTTATGAGAAATTCTTTACGAATTCATCTAGTAACTGTCCCTCGTTTACAGAAAAACTGGTCTTTTCAAAGATTCCAATTTTTTCTGTGTACCGCGACACATTGAACTATGTGATGAGTCAGTTTTTATCTCAAGATATCATCTTCTTCAAAATGATTATTCTGCTTGAAAAAGTTTCGTGAAAATATTCCGATTTGACATGAGCGAGTTTCGTAAAATCGGTGATCATCCGAAATGGGGATATTCCTACGGTAACTGGTTAGCTTTAGAGTGTCACATGATGAATAAGAGAGTGAACAGATTGGTTCATAAATTCACCGTATAACCTTCTTCTCGCTTCATATAAAATGATGTCTAAATTTTACAAAAACATTGTATGGTTCAAAGTTTTTGTAGCACTTCTCCAAATTTAATGCTACAGTATGATTTCGGAACGAAAAATTGATAATCTCAGTTTTGGCGAAAAATGATGGGATACTCAAAACTAATACCCCCGGGTCATTTAATTTCAAATCAAACTGCATTCACAAATTTTCAATAAATGTTTTGGTTTTTTCCGGACTGCAGAAATTTAGAGCTCCTAAACTTATTGGATGCACAGTATGGGGTCCAAGATGAGTTGAACTCGAACACAACTTTGAAGGTTCGTACTAGCGCATTTGTTATAAGAGTATAAACGTACAGTAATCTTTCACATGAAAAATCATACCCTATTTTCAAAAACCTCTCAAAAATCTCCTGTCTCCCTTCTTCGATAATTTTGTGATTACTCATATTTCCCAAACGAATTCTGCCCTTTTTGTTGAAAAATGCACTTTTACTAATGAATCTCAAGCAACCATGTTTGGGCTGTATTTGTATGCACATCTTTGAGCATGCAAAAATTGAGATAAACAAAAAATAAAGCTAATAAAATGCTGAATCGAGCCAATCATTATCGGATGATGCGACCAAAGACGATAATACAAGATGATTCTGAGGATTGTACTTGTGACAGTTACACAAAAACAGTGCAACAGATTTGAATATGTTTCAGTGGACGATGACTATTGAGGAAATGGATAGAAGCTAGGTTCAAAGAAATAAAAGATTTTTGAATACGATAAATTGATTGTAACCTAATTTAACAAAACTAAAAAAAGACTCTCCAATTCCCCTCAATACAGGTTGGTTGAAATGAACTTACTCTTCCATACTTTCTACTGGAGTAGTGTTCGCCTTTTTTCCACAAATTGGCAAGCATGACAACAGATTCAAAAACGACGAGAGCCCCCCTCCTCCATTAATATCAGCCGCGCGATTGGCGTCAGCCGTTCTGTTATTTGATGTAGTGGCTTGCTGTTCTGGATCCGGTAGGTTTGGATTCCGAACAAAATCACCACCAGTATTTACAACTCGAGTGTTTGCCATTAGAATATATGAATAGTAAAGTAGAGATAAAATGGGGATCAAGCGCCTGCTGGAGGCCAGGACGAATGGTTGATGACTACTGATTTGTCACCCCCACCTTGAATAGAATACTCGGATACTCCGGATGACACTAGGAGGGCGAGAGATAAATTTCTAACGTTTCTCGTGCGCTTCCTTTTCTTCTTCTTCTTCTCTTGTTTAGGTCAGGTTGACAAACACAAATGGGAAGATGGGCGGAGCGGGTGCATCCAAATGAGAGCACAATGCAAGAAACAAGAAGAGTGGGGAAAATTTTTCACGTTTCAAAAGAAGAGAAAAACGCTGAAATTCTTCGAGAAGATATGCTTGATTTCGCTTCGATGATAATCATGCGCACAAGGTTACACTGTTTATCAGTGAATAATGCTAGGTGAAGTGAGACGAAGATCAGGGTTGGGTTGTGGAACTTTCAAAAAGGTGTGATTGAAGAATTGTTTTGAAACATTGGGATACTCCGTTTGTAATTGAAATCCCACTTAAAAAATTGATTGAGATTGATGGGTTTTTTCGTGATAAGGAGAGAGCGGTGACTGTTATGAACAACATTCAAATTGCGCTGAAGTTCTCAAAATGACTCATCGGGAAAATTTGGATGAAAAACTAAATTTCATTTTTCCAGTATCCGTGGTTCTTTGAAATTTCAGTTTTTTGGACTCAGCTGATTACTACAAAATAACTAGAAAAGGAGAGAAATCAAAATTGTGTCAAATTCTATTTGTTCGCGAGGTTGAAGTCTCGAGATCAGATGGATTTTATTGTTTAACTGCTAGATGTGATCATATTTGTATCCCTCGCTTTTTTTTCCGTATTTGTCCTTAGATTGATTATTTTTTATTCAAGGATTATTATTACTTACTCACAGGATAAGGTTTTTTTCAAAGTTTTGATATACAGTACCGGTAAAAAAATACGAAAACAAATTTTTCAATTGATTTTCGGTAATTTTGACCATTTTCAGGTGTATGGAGTTTTCGATCACTTTAAAAACTTTGGAGGTTGTAAAACAGACCTAGATGGAAAACTTTACAGTCACAGAATTTTTCGAAAATTCGTAGTTTTCCAGCTATTTGCCAAATCCTGAGAGATACGAATTTTTTCTAATTTTCAGTATAAAAAGTGCCAAGAAGGGGGGGGGGGGGGTTTCGAAAATCGGCAAAAAGCTGAACAACTAGGAATTTTCAAAAATTCTGTGAACACGAGATTTTTGAACTATGTCTGTTTTACATCCTCCATAATTTTCGAAATGATCGGAGACTTGAAAGCCGAGCTCCAGACTCTTAATAATTATCAAAAAGGTCTAAAGTCCATGGAAAATATGTTTCTGCACATTTTGTTGACAAGTACTGTTTAAAAGTAGTTTAAATCTGTAAAAAAATGATACTAATTTTGAAAACTTCTAATTCTCGAAATTTTAAAAAGGTCGACCGATCCTCATTGTAATGAATTTGTCTACCTAATTGACTAAGTGAAGCCAAGAAATTTTTTTCAACTACCAATTATATCCCTAGTTGGTAGTTTGAAAAATACCTGTTTTGAACTTCTCTAAAAGCAATATCGTTTTTTAAACTATTCTGTCAAATCACGGTACGTTAATAACGGAAGAAAACAAAATCGGAATATGCGACAGGAATAAATAGGCAAGGTAAGTTAGATAAAAGTTAGGAATATTTCTAGAACTTACCAGCAATCCTCGAAGAAATGTTTGAGGGAGATGTGCCATTCACAAATGTTGAACTTTTTGCGATTGGTCTTACGATGTTTGTGGCACATACCGTCATCGGAGATAAAACTCAACGCCATAGCTCTCAGTATAACTCAAGTATGAAGCTGGCTGAGAACAATCCGAAGAGAAAAAAGGGGGAGTGTGGCAATGTCAAATCAGAAATCGGAAAATTCTAGACTTCAGGATTCGGTGAGCTGCTATGTCTGGAGCAGGCAAAATGACAGCCCTGAGAAGAAAAAGGCAACCGGCGAAAATCAGAAGTGGTTAGATTCTGATAACAACGAGTTTTTTTCTTCTGACATGAGATTATAGGCGCCCCGAGAACGGGACTCGCCGTGTAACGTGATAAACAACAATGAACACTACGCGAACAGATGAAAAAATTTTTTGTGTTGAGCTTTCTGAGAAAATACGGAACACGTGTGGTTCTCATTATTACTCACAGTGGGAGAAATGATCCGTTTCTGTTTTTTTTTTTCATTTTCAATGATCTTGGAGTTCTTGGTTCTTTCATCAAGCAGAGAAAGCAGGTAATTGTCACTTTAAAAATGAAATTTCTGTTCCCCGAGATTTTTGAATTAAAAAATATAAAAGATTTGAGTCGCTACAAAATTAAACTTGATAGATGTTTTAATAATAATTTGAAAACAGGAAAAAATAATCAGAAAAAACATTACCATAAGTCTATCAAAGCGTCGATCATAGCCATCAAACGTGCTTCCGAACAGCACATTGAAAGAAGTTCGACGAATCTTCCGTATGAAAATCGGTCTCGATCAAGTTTTAATAGTTCTCAATTCGACGAAATAGCTCGTGTGATGTACCAAGCAGCAGGTTTTCAAGTAAGTATATTCCTATATTAGCCTAATGCACCTGTCACTGTGCTCTCCCGAATACAAGATATTTTCCGCTCATACTTGACTTGCTGACGTCGATCGCTTCCAGATGCAAATTCGACTATTTGCAAGTGCTGTTTGTTGCCTTGAATAGGGCCTCAAGAGCTCTCTCAATGATAATATTGACCCAGATTGAAGACAACAATGAGGCTAGATTCGAAAATGGGTCTGATATTTGAAAAATAACAGTGATGGGACAGAGAACCAAACTTACAGCAAATGCTAGAGCCTAAAAGTGATCTTTTAAATATCAGCTGGCAAGTGTCCTAACGATCAAATAGAACATTTCGAGAACATTCATCTAAACTCTCAAAACAAAAAATAACTAACTTCCAGATCCATGAACACCATTCATAGAGAGCATTCATCCTGCTGACAAGTGATTTCAAAAACTGAGTGAATATTTCAGTTGTTTTTGTCGACAGACGACGTAGTAAAATAATCAAACGGTTTGTACTTGGAATTGAATATTTATCAGGCGTTTCGTGCTGATTGGAAATTTTAACAAAAATTTTGAAGAGCTAACATAAGCAGCAAACTGAACTAAACAACTGACAAGAGAGCTTATAAATACGAAAAGTTCAGCAACTGAAAACAAAATGATTATATAGTAAACGAGAAAAAAACTTTGAAATTTTTTTGAAAAGGTTGAAAACAAAAAATCCAAAATCAATACTGTAAACATTCATATAGAATGATCTCCTAACCTTAAATTTGAACCCAATTATCTCGGTTTCTGTGAAAGATATCAAAAAATGGCTGAGAAAATGTTTAACATAACAAAACAGGAAAAAATGTTTAACAAAAAATCGGCAGTATCTTGGCAGTTGATAACTTGTTCATATTTAATAAAAGGATCGGGATAAACGAGCTCAAGGTTGACGGCTAAAGGGGCATTCCAGCATAGTGTTTACTGTTTAGTTGACTTTTTAAATTTTTTATGACTAGAGTGGGAACGCATGTATGGTGAAAAATCATCATCATCGAGAATCCATAATTCATAAACGATATATTTTATTGTTTTGGCTGTTTTTAACAATTTTTATCTTCTAAAAACATGAACAATAATAAGGGTTGAAAACATTTTTTTGAAGCATAAAAATAATAATTTTTAAAAATTAATTTAAATTTATAAATTACACTTCGATATATTCTTCACAAATAATTTTCCGTGTTATAATGAAAAGTCTTGAAAATCGGAAAATGATAATGCTCATTTGAGGAAAAATTTCCCATAGTTAGAAGATCATCAGTCTCCCATTAAAACATAGATTTTTTTCTTTCTCTTCTGATTTCCTTTTGCTGTCGTTATCAAATACATGTTTTTCCTTATTCCTTAGGTTCGAAAAAAATGAACAGAAAATGGGATTTTTCATTCGAAATATTGAAGAGTATGACAAGATAATGTTGAAATGAGTCAAACATTCAAATGTAGAAAGCCAGAAGCAAACCACTTTTTCTATAATAATCAAAAAATGAAACACTGTAGTTTTAGTTTTTAATATTTTCGATCCCAGTAACGAACTATGACTACTCGAATTGTGTTCGTAAATTCCTTTGTTATAAAAATCACCCACCTGATATATTCCTTTCCTTTAGAAGCATTTGGATTCAAGCAGACTATCAATTTCCCAAAGCAGCTCATTGTGCATGACATGTTACGCCCTGTAAAATTACTGATTACAAGAAATATACGAAGAAATACAATAGTTATAGAAACATTAGTCTCCCATTAAAAAATCAATATGAACTTCAGAGTGAATAAAAAACATTCGAGAAGAAGAAAGAGAAGAAGGGAAAGGACACTTGCGAGGCCGACGGGCGGCATCCCATCCACGATGATGCCTTGTGGACACACGCATACATAATACTGGAACCACTTCTTCTTTTTTTCCCTCCTTTCCAATTTCTCTTCTTTTTTTTGGTCTCTCCTTACATACGAAATGAATATATATGAATGATGCGTGGTAATGAAAACGGAACTAGAAAAATCCTAGATTTCGTGTCAAGATCTTCTGAATTGCTGATGTTTTTATATTATTTCATGTTTGCAGGTTTGCAAAACAGTAATGAAACTGCTGCCTTTTTTGCATAACCATGTGGGAAAAACGGTACAAACTGATTGATTTTTTTTGAGGGTCGGAGACTGAATATCAATTCATGTTGCATAAATTCTAGCATGATATTTTTCCGGGTTGGGGATACACAATACAACAAAATACAAAATACCGTAAAACCTCTAATAGAACGACACCCGGATCGTCCACTTTGAGCCTATATATCTCATTTACTGTGAAAGATATCAAAAAGTGGCTAACTAGTAAAATGTTGCTGATATCCTGATAAACATTTTACTAGTTAACCACTTTTTGATATCTTTCAAAAGAAGTGAGATATATAGGCTCAAAGTGGACGATTCGGGTGTCGTTCTATTAGAGGTTTTACGGTAGATGAAGCTAATGGGATTATCACAAATTAGATTTTTCGGGTTGTATAATTGATCAAAGAAAAAAACCTCAATAAAATGATATTCTATCTCTTTTAGCAATCAAAAAGTGATAAAATGCACAACTGATTATAGACTCCAAACTACAAAACTCGTTTTAAAAATCACTTTTGTAGGTTATCAGTGTTTCAGCGTAATCTCAGGTTGGCGGTAACAAAAACCCATTAAAATTCCTCTTGTCCTGTGGTGTCATATTTGCGAAACATTGCGAAAACTTAGGTTGGTAAACCCCGCCCCCAAAAAGCGTAGTTTCTACACAATGTAAGATGGGGTACTCTCTGCTCTGTCTAAGTTTCTTCACGTGAATGTTTGAACCGGTGCTCTCGCCGCACACAAAACACGCTTTTTGATGGTCTATGGCTGGAAAACACGGGAAAATTGAATAAATAGTTCGCACACAGGTACTTAAACAGTTTGCGAACAATGGCAGAAGATCATTTTGTTCTGAGATTGTCTTTTTTTTTGGTTTCTAGCAATCTTTGAAGGTTTTTGTTTCAGAGAATACTACCTACTGTTATCAATAAATTATCATTTTGAAACGATTTCTACAACGAACTTCTGATAAGAAAAAGTCTTCTGATCCGCCCCAAGGAAATCTGGATGATTCTCAAAATAATCTTCCAAGAAAAATAACTGTAAGATTTACAATTAATCACTAGAAAAATTTTTATTGTTCTAGACAATTGGAATGGACGACAAAGAACCAAAATCCAGTATTTCGAAAACATCCAGTTACGATGATGACGACGATGAAAAAGTGGAATACTTCCCATCTGTGTTTGAAAAAGCAGTCAATTTTTTACTTTGTCGGTTAGTGATTATTTCACATTTTCAAAGAATTGTTAAATTTTTCAGATGTGACCTCTCCTCACAAGTTCTTGAATTCAAACCAGTTTCATTATTACAATTGGTATGTTGTACCCAACCGAATAAAAATTTCGGAACTACCCATATTTTAGTTCCGCTTCGCCACACCGTTCGACTACATTCTTCTGATAATTGGCGTCGTTACTTCCATCATCTCCGGCGTTTCTCAACCGGTTCTTGCCATCATTTCGTTAGTTACACATTCAAGGAACTTTTGAAATTTAAAATTCAAAATTTTAGGGGTCGATTGACAAATGTGTTGCTGGTAGTAGATCCATTGAGCAAAGAATTTAAGAATAAAGCAATGGAAAATGTGTATATTTTCTTGGGTCTTGGAATATTTGTATCCATAAACGATTTCTGTCAGGTAACTTCAGAAAACAAAGTGTCCATCATCATCCATCGAATTTTCAGTACATGTGCTTCCAACGGGTTTGTAGTCGTATGATGACTCAAATGAGAAACCGGTACATTTCTTCGATCCTCCGACAAAACGCCGGATGGTTTGACAAGAACCTCTCAGGAACTATTACTACTAGACTCAACGAGTAATAAAATTACACTTCTAATGATCCCAAAAAAATACTTTTGTTTAGCAACATGGAACGAATTCAAGACGGAGTTGGAGACAAGCTGGGAGTTTTGATTCGTGGTATTTCAATGGTCCTGACTTCCGTGATAATCTCCCTTGTATATGAATGGAGATTGGCGCTGATGATGGTCGGTCTCATTCCGGTGTCTACGATTTGCATGACACTTCTGTCTAGAGTAAGCGAATTTCTTATCTATTAAAAAATAGCTATTTTATAGTTCTTGGAAAAGAGCACAGGAGAAGAATTGGAAAAAGTTGGAATAGCTGGTGCAATTGCCGAGGAGTCACTGATGGGTGTTCGAACTATCCAAGCATTCAACGGACAGGAAGAAATGGTTGCCAAGTATGAAAAGCATTTGAATTCTGGAAAGAGGCATGCTATTATCGGTGGATTCTGGAGTGGATTCTTCGGTGGCATGTTTTTCTTCTGGCTGTTAGCATTCATGGGCTGTGGAATTCTTTATGGTGGATACCTTTTAAAAGTTGGAATCATTAAATCTCCAGGGGACGTGTTCATTATTATCATGGCAATGCTACTCGGTGCATATTTCCTTGGTCTCATCTCTCCTCACTTAATGGTTCTTCTCAATGCTCGTGTTGCTGCTGCTTCTATTTACAAAACCATTGACAGAGTTCCAAAAATTGATCCATACTCTAAAGCTGGAAAGAAACTGGATAGAGTAGTAGGCAAGGTGACATTTCGAAATGTTCACTTCCGGTATCCAACTCGGAAAGAGGCAAAAGTTCTAAACGGACTCGATTTAACCGTCGAACCTGGAACTTCTGTTGCATTGGTTGGCCATTCAGGATGTGGGAAGTCAACATCGGTTGGTCTTCTAACAAGATTATATGAGCCAGAAGATGGAAGCGTACAAATTGATGGAGTTGACGTAAGAGACCTGAATATGGATTGGTTGAGAAATATTGTGGGTATTGTGCAACAAGAGCCGATTCTATTCAATGACACCATCCACAATAATTTACTTATTGGAAATCCTGATGCCACTCGTGAGAAGATGATTGAAGTTTGTAAGATGGCAAATGCACACGATTTCATTAAGAAAATGCCAAAAGGATACGATACACTGATTGGAGATGGTGGAGTACAACTCTCTGGAGGACAGAAGCAACGTGTCGCCATTGCTAGAACTCTTATTCGTGATCCAAAGATTCTACTTCTCGATGAAGCTACATCAGCTCTTGATGCTCAATCTGAAAGTGTGGTTCAATCTGCACTGAACAATGCTGCCAGAGGAAGAACTACTATTATGATTGCACATAGACTCTCTACAATCCGTGAAGCTGATAAAATTGTCTTCTTCGAGAAGGGAGTCATTGTGGAAGCTGGAAATCATGGGGAGCTAGTTGCACTTGGAGGAAGATACTATAATTTAGTGAAGGCTCAACAGTTCAAACAAGATCCGGAAGACATTGAGCTGGAAGCTGAACAAGAGGATCAGTTTGATGAGTAAGTTTGCGTAAAGTATTATATATAAGATAGTGCAATTTCAGGTTTGAGAAGCCAACTATGTTCACCAGGCAAGTGTCTACTCGGAGTTCAAGAAGTTCAGGAAGATCTGGTTCCGATGAGTTCCGCCGAGGAACACTCGCTAACCACTCGTTCGACCGTTTCCGTAAGCCATCACATGTTCCAACTGCTGAAGATGAAGCATTCGCATTGAAAGTGAAAGAGACTATGGAGAAAGATGAAGAAGTAACTGCTGGATATCTTGATATTTTCAAAAATGCTCATGGTAAAAAAAAACATTGATTAATAATCGATTCAAAAAACCAATTCCAGGAAACTACGGCTACATGTTCATTGGGCTTGTGGCCGCGCTTATCAGAGGGCTCGATTTGCCAGCATTTGCATTATTGTTGTCTTGGGTGTTTGAAGGTTTTGAATTTGTCCCGTATGGAGGAAAAATGATGCACCGATTTGTCATGTCCGTCATAGCTCATTGTGGAGTGGGTCTTGGAATTTGGTTCTTTCAAACACTGAGTGTCAGTATATCATTTGAAATTAGTTTTCCATAACTATTTTAATTCTAGACTGTCATGTTTGCAATTGTTTCTGAAAACCTTGGTGTTCGCTTCCGTGTTGACGCTTTCCGGAACCTTCTCTATCAGGATTCTGCCTATTTTGATAATCCAGCTCATGCTCCAGGCAGTTTGATCACCAGACTTGCCGCGGACCCTCCCAGTGTGAAAGCAGTTGTAGATGGAAGGATGATGCAAGTAATCTATGCGTTCTCTGCTGTGGTGGCATGTGTGACTATTGGTTTTATCTATTGCTGGCAAGTGGCTATCCTTGGAACGTCACTAATTTTCTTCTTGGGATTTGTTATGTGTGGATTAGCTTTCAAGATTACAATATTAGCAGTGGAGCATATGCAGAATGATGATGCTGGAAAAGTAAGCTCACGATTTTTTGCTTCTTTCCTATAAAATCGTTTTAGGTGGCCATTGAAATTATAGAAAATGTGAAAACGATTCAACTTTTGACACGAACAAAACGATTTTTGAATAGTTACGAGAACGAGTCGAAGAAACGAAAGACAACAGAACTCCGAAAGTCTGTCTTCGAAGCTATCAACTACAGTATCACCCAAAACTTCATGTATTACATGTCGTGTTTCTGTTTTGCACTGGCCATCAGAGTTATTAACGAAGGAGATCAGCCAGTTGACAAGACATTCAGAAGTCTTATGGCAATGATGTTATGTTGCGAAGGAATCATTCTGTCCGCTCAATTCTTCCCACAATTTGTTGGAGCCAAGTCAGCAGCAGGACAAATGTTCAATTTAATCTACCGTAAACCTCAGACAGGAGATGTAAAAACTGGATCTCAGCCGGAAATTCGTGGAAACATTCTATTCGAAAATGTCAAGTTTTCTTACCCTCAACGACCACATCAACCAGTAATGAAAACCTTGCAATGGACTGCTCTCCGAGGACAAACTGTTGCAATTGTGGGACCATCTGGATCAGGGAAAAGTACATGCATTAGTATGCTCGAGCGGTTCTATGACGTCACTGGAGGTGCACTCCGAATTGATGGACAGGATATCCGGACCATGTCTTTGTATCATTTGAGAACACAAATGGCTTTGGTTGGACAAGAGCCAAGACTATTTGTTGGAACGATTCGAGAGAATATATGTCTTGGATTGAAGGATGTGCCACTTGAGAAAATAAATCAAGCACTGGAACTTGCCAATGCTAATCGGTTCCTGGGAAATTTGCCAGCTGGAATAGATACCGAGGTTGGAGAAAGAGGAGGACAACTATCTGGAGGTCAGAAACAAAGAATTGCTATTGCCAGAGCATTAGTTCGTGACCCCAAAATTTTGCTACTCGATGAAGCGACATCAGCATTGGATTCGGAGTCTGAAAAGGTGGGTGAAAACTGGTATATGAAATTTTTCATAATTACAATTTTCAGGCAGTACAAGAAGCTCTCGATCGTGCTCGAGAAGGTCGAACATGCATTACCATCGCACATCGGCTGTCTTCGATTCAAAACTCCGATCTTATTGTCTACATCGACGACGGACGAGTTCAAGAAGCGGGAACTCACAACGAGCTGATGCATATGAAGGGAAAATATTTCGAGCTCATTAAGAAACAAGACCTTGCAATTTGAGCTCTCATATTTCGTACTTGTACATTTGTGTCATGTCTTGTAAATTTGAGCTTAGTTACTAATCAGCGGGTTGCGATATTGAAGTGAGATTTTTCCGCATATTTTTCAATAAAGTTTTCGCTCATTATAGTATTGTATTATGTTTCAAAGTGGAAACGAAGTCCAGATAAATGCTTTTATTTTCACAGAAAACGTATAAAAATCTAAATAATAGATAAGCTTGTGTTTGAATATCAAACATTCGAGATAAAGAGGTCGGTGTTTTAAGACATGTGAGTAAAAGAGGTAACAATGTAAGATTATCTCTGGAGCTTATCTTCTCGGACGGAAATCAAACACTGCATCCGGATTCAAACCTTTGTTCATGTTTTCAATCACCCAGCTAGCCCATTCCGACTGCTCCCGAGTTCCAATGTCGACAATATACTCGAGGCGGGCTAGCGGATTATTCTGACAATCGATTTCAAAGGCTTCTGTTCCCGAAATATCTTGCAACTCGGGTTCAATATGGCGTTGCAGATCCCTATCTCTCTTTTCGGCATGGTGATATAGTTCAACTAATAAGGAGATTCCGTATCTCTTTGAAAACGTTGATCCGTAGTTGATGAGATTCCTGAAGTAGAAGTATGTGTATCTACAGTGCAATAAAATATAAAAGAACGTGTTTTTCAGTTAATTTTGAGTTTCAAAATTTTTGAAAATTTTCAGGAGCCTAGATCTCTGCTGTCAAATGTCATCACTTTGAAAACTTTGGAGGTTATATAAAGAGACCCAGCAGAAAACGTTTCATCCATGGAATTTTCTGGAAATTCATAGTTTTTCAGTTAATGGTCGAGTTCTGAAGAACATCTGCTTTTTTCGCATTTTCAACACAAAAATAGGAAAACTAGGGTAGTTCTTCAGAAGTTGGCAGTTATTTGAAGAACTAGAGATTCTTTAAAAAATTCTGTAATGTCAAAGTTTTCAGTATAAATCTGTTTTATAACCACAAGTTAAAGAGTGATCGGAAACTTGACAGCCGAGCTTCAAACTCCTGAAAATGATCGAAATCAACTGAAAAACAAGTTTTTGTTAATCTCAGTTTTTGTTAATCTTAGTTTTTGTTAATGTTTTTGTTAATGAAAAACAAGTTTTCGTTAATTCACCAGTACTGTATCTCAAATCAAAGCTCTTTTTTAATTAAAAAAAAGTCTTCTGAAGAAAACATTTTTTTCAGTAAATAGAATAGTAACTTTTTGATATGACTTTTTAGAAACTTATTTCTTAAAAGATCTCTAATTTAGAACAGAGCCAATTCTTTTATTTTAAGAACTAATGGAAAACAATTTTCAATGAATTGGAATTTCGAGTTATCATCATAACTACTTTTAACAATCTAAGTTAAATATATTAGATGGGTTTTGTAAGGAAACTTACATAACGTGGATGCATGCCTCTTCGGTTTTCCGGAAGAAAATATCCACTGCCTTGACATTCATGGCTAGCAAGAACTGCAGCTCTGAGAAATTGCGTACACGAAGTGTGATATCATTATCTCCGTTCTCTACACCCAGTCTCATTCTTCTACAGAATTCATTCATAAAACGACGTTGTAGATCAATGGCTCTCGCTTCTTCGCATTCATTGATTTTCATAAATCCAACGATCATCCAACGAAATCGTTTGACAATATCTCTATCGAAAATTTTATCCATCAACTTCATACATTGAGATTGGATCTCTTGTCCTTCATTCAGATTGAGAGCAAGGTCACGGGGAACATTACTGCAAAAACCTTTGAGAACCGGATACCGTACTTCCTCTAATAGAGGCTCATGGACTTCTATTTTTCAACCTCCTTCTGTTGGTGGACTAATATCAAAGAAAACGCTCAAATTAGATAGTTTTCGGTTTTTAACTGAACTGGAATAGTTCTGAAACAACAAAAATCAACTGAAATAACCAGAAAAAAGTATGTCTACACTAACCGAGAAGAAAAATGCACAGCCAGGGTGGGCTTCTATTAGAGGTGGCTTTCTATTAGAGGAAATAAGGTATATAAAAATAGTGCTCACCACATGGATAATTGAAAAATATTCAAGCATTTGGTATAAATCCTATCCTTTCCCACTTTTTCACATCGACAGAAGACGTGTGCAGTTCTTTCCACGATATCATCGGTGAATCTGCTTTTTGGGAAAAAATTGCAGTAATGGTTTAGAATCTCCAATACATTATGAATAGCAAACGATTCAGCTGCAATCGTTTCTATTTCGAGAGGGGTCCGATCCAAGACGTGCAGAATAGCAGGCACAAACCGTGTGTCGTCAACACATTTCCAGAAGAAACGAGAACTGAATAAAACATTAATTAGTAACAACTAAAACTTTACAAACTCTGTTAGTGATTTCGTATGAGCCAGTAGAGGTGCAACAATCCAGTCGGCTGGTTTCTTTCTTGACATCTCACTCATCAATATTTCCAAAAAACCACAAACATCAGTTTGTTTCATCGTTTTTGCACGTTTCAGTTTCTCGAACACTGATCCAATATGGTTGAAAATACGACTGTACGACGGATTTGTGTAGATATCGTTTCGAAAATATTCGAAAGAACCAAGACTATGCGGGTCTCTCGAAAGAAAATATTTCATTGATCTGAAGGCCGACGGTAAGGTTTTGATAGTCATCAGCTCAGTATTTCTTCTTGGTACTGGAATATTTTCGCTCACTTGAAGACTAGTTCCTGAAAAAATATTTTTCATGTCAACCTTTCTGATAATTAAGCTTCCACCTAGCAGACCAATCGTTTTAAGTGAAGGGAAACGTTGGCACAGATCGTATAAGTCCCTCAAAGATACATCGTTATACCCACAATTCAGAACTTTCAACGGAAAATATCCACGGGTTTTCAGTAACCACTTCACTTCTTGAGAAATGTGATACCTTAAATAGAAGGTACGGTTTCAATGATAAATTTTGAACTCACCGGTGGCCGCTGATGTCTAAATCCTTTAATTTCTGTAACTCGAACAACTCTGACACGTCAGTTTTATTTTCAGATACGGCGTTTCCAGCATGGAAAACCTCCAAATTTCTCAGTTGTCCAATCCCACGTAAACTGTGATACTCTGAGCCAGCGATATTCAAACATCGCAACGTGCGAAAGTTTTCGCATAGAAAATCGAAGTCATTTTTAGAGAAGAAGCACATGGGAAGATGGAGTTCTTCGACCAACGGACAGAGTTCATGAATCTAGAAACATTTTTGATCAATTGAGTTGAAAATCAAAATTAATGATGAACTTCAAAACAAAAAAAATTTCTAAAACAATATACATCTCTTCAGGTACACTACAAATGCCGCTAGCGTAATCTAGGTTTCTCACTGCAAATCCTGGTCCCTCCTAGGCAACGTTTTTCTTGAATTTTTCTAATTTTCAAGGCGTTTTTCGGGGATTTCGGATTATTTTTTATTGAATTGTTCGCAATAATAATAATGAGAAAATAGATAACTTTTAAGACATTCTAATGCAAAAAAATTTTTTGGTCGAAGACCCCCTTCAAACTGAGAAATATTTTGAGGCCATTACAAATCTCTTCTGAATTGGTACTCCAGAGAAATACAGATTCCCAAAATTTCAAATTCTGATTTTTAAAATACGGTCATATTTAATAGTCTGGGATAGGTGATATGGGCTCTGAAATTATCATTCTTATAATAAATAAATGAAGTTGCGTCTCTTTATCAGTGGCTCTGTCCGCAAATTTTGAAAAGCTGGAAAATAAAATATAGATTCACGTGACCTTTAAAAAAGAGTGAGTTTCGAAGCGACGAACAGTAAAAGAAAAAGGAAAAGGGATTCCAGCTGTTTGAAACGCCGGAAGCGCGGCAAACGGGCTGGTATTTCCAAAGATTTAGTAATAATCGAAAAGTAAAGACAGAAACAAATTTTTTATCGAAACTTTCGACGTTCTTATTGAAAAAGAGCTATTAAATGAATAAAAATTAGTAGATAGAACCTACTTGTTTTATCCAACCATCTGGAAATGTTTCTTTTTTGTGGTTGCCCACAATACGGAGAGACTTCAAACATTTTCCGTTTTTGCCTTCGATCAGTGTTTTGAGACAGGCAACAATATCAACTGTAGCTTTAACAAACCGATATTCGTCTGAAATAAATTAACTATAAAATAAATATTTTTATTATAACTCACCATCATCTTCGGTGCGGAATATTTTCAAAGAATTATGTGAACCAATGCTCAACTCTTTCAGTTGGAAACTTTTAATCACCTCACAAACGCGAGGAATGAGATCTATGTGATCAGTCACCACTTTTGTCACATTTAGTCGCTGAGACAATTCTTCAACAATCGAAGGAAAAACTTTTCCATGATAATTCCACTCAAACAGAAATTGGTTGAAAATTTCATTACTGAAATTTTCATCTTCAATTTTGAAGTCTTTCAATTCATCGGTTAGGAACGCGTCTGAAATAATGATTAAAAGTTATAAAAACAAAATTATTCTATAACAGAATGAGATTTTACTTGTTTCACATGTTGTACTCCTTCAGAAGCTTCTGCTTTTAATGGGAAGCTAAAAATAAAACGGGCTTGAGAAAAAAGGAGGGAGGGGAGGGAGGACTCATGACAAATAAAAAAAACCTGAAAATCTTGAAAAGTTCGTGTACAAAAAGAGCGAAAAATGTCCAAAAAACGAAATTAGATGGAAAAAAGGGCCGAAATTATATGGAAAAAAGGGGACCACCACGGTGAAATGATTCAGAAAAAAAAATGAAGAAATGAATATCAGACCATTTTCTGTCTCAAAAGTTGGTGGCCTAAAAATCTCAACTAGCAAAAGTTAATCCGCCACCTTTAAATGGCCTAGAAATCACATTGAATAAATATTAGGTGTTTCCAGGTCTAAGACAGCTGGTGGCATAGAAGTCTCAACTTGCAAAAGTTAGGCCACCACGTTAAAATATCCTAATAGCCTAGACAACACAGCAAATGATTACCAGGTCATTTTCCAATTAAAAGAGTTAATGGCCTAAAAATCTCAACTTGCACAACTTAGGCCACCACGTTAAAATGGCCTAAAACACATCAAATGAATATCACTCCATTTCAGGACAAATAAATGCACCGGTCTTTACCGAAGCGTCAATCTATGAGACATATTATGCCCGTCTCCAGCAAAAAACGGAGAGAGCGATATCAAATTGGAACTTGTGGCGACATGACGTCAAAATTATTTATCTATCCTAGCAAAATTCCGAACCACCAACCAACTAAGCTCATCATTCCTATAACTTACTTGTTCTGAATTTCTCCACAATTTCCTGAATGGACAAGTTTGTTGAATTGAGATTCATTCTGCAAATTATTCAATTAGAAACAAGCAGAGTATAAGCAGAACTTGTCTGAAAAGTGGGACGAGTGTGAAAGCAGGACGAGAAGCTAGGGCTAGTTCACTGCGTCTATGCCCTTTTCCTGCTCTTTTATCGGTGCCCTCTTTCTTTTCCGCTCTTTCACAGCTTCGCAGGGCAGTGTTGTCTTTGTGTAGTCCTCATTTTTCACTCTCGTGATCTACATGCGTGATACCTCCCTAATCCGGCAGTGTTATGAATTTTCCCATAATTCGGGCTCAATTTCTGAGCACACGATGCAAATACTAATCATATTTCAGCCAACATAAAATAATGTATGAAAGGGAATAGAAAAAAAAGAGAAGGACAAAATTAGGAATTCAGTCTTTATCGGTTGGACAGAAGGGAATATAATAATTTAATTTAAAGGACGGTGGAAGAAACAATCTTCAACAATTAGAAGAGATATTGTTTTGGCGAAAAAAAGGCTACCACACACACACAAAGATACCTTGTAGAATAAATAACGGAGTTCACATGTAATTAAAACTTTTGCATTATTCGAACTGATAAGAAAATCTTGTTGAAACAGTAATCCAGAAAAAAGAAAAGTTAGCAAAAATTGAGACTACGGAAAATTGCCAAAAAAAACTTACAATTAGAGATAGTTAATTCAGCGAACTACCTAAACCGAGCCTAATGGAAGAAGATAATTGTCTATGGTGGAAGATAATCAATCATTTGGAATATTTTCAAAAATTCTGCAATTTTTCTTCCTACTTCAAAGTCATTCGGGAAGTAACACATATAGATAATTCCTAGATCGTCGATTGCTGCCGGATATTTTGAAAAACGTCATCAATACGCGAAGTTACTATTACACACCAAAAGACGCAGAGAGTGCAACAGAAAAACCGCGATGCACTCACTCAACAGACACAAAAAAAACCTAAGCACTCAAAAATACCTTTTGTAACCTGTAAAACCTGAAAGGCACTCAAAACTCAAAACTCTATGAAAACAATATTTATTGATTTTACTCAATAAAATTCTTAAAAACCTTTGTAACCAGTGAGCAACACTAAAACGAGGGGTCACCAATCGTGATCAACCTCCAGCGAAGACTGAAGAAAACATGATAATTGCCGAGAGAGAGGAGACGCGTTTTGGCGCGCATACAGTTTCGCGCGCAGATACAGTAATCCCCACTTCTCGCACGTGTGAGCGGGGGAGATTTCTTTCCTTTAGACTTGGAAAGAGGAATTTAAAAGAGAAAACACGGTAGACTACCGTACTTCTCCCTCCATTTTTGAGTCCCCGTACGTGGCAAGAGTGAAAAAGGTGGTTGCCTCAGCTTAATGATGAAACGATATCGGAAAATTGAGGAAAAAAGGAGAAAAACCGATATCGACCTTTTCCATTTCACATATTTTCATGATACGAAACAAACCAATAAAATTTGTCTAATAGTATTTTTCAATTTTAAATTGAATGGCGTTAACAGTTTTTTGATATTTTCTTTCGTTCTCAAGTTATGATAAGAAACAAAAGGTGTCCCATCATCAGTGAATATTTTTATTTTTAGGGCCTAATTAAAAACTCTGTTCAAGCCGTTGATAAGATTTTGTTATTTTAATCATGTTTAAACAAAAGTTTAGCTTTTTCCATCAAGTTTATCTATAGATGTGCCCTGTCACATGTCACACTTCACCAAAAATAGGGGTCAGGTTCGGAAAATCGTAAATATTTTTGATTCTAGGGACTAAATCGAAATTCTGTTCAAGCCGTTGATAAGATTAAGTTCTTCTGATTATGTTAAAAAAATAGTTTGGCCGTTTCTATCAAGTTTAACTATAGATGTGACCTGTCACATGTCAAAATTTTGCTTTTTTCAAGATGATGATTTTAAGAAATGGTACGGCATTTGAAAAAATGACTTTGTATGTCGCAGGATTCTATTTTAAACACTCTAGGCAAACGATACGCAACTAAAAATCACAAAAACAAGTATGCCCCTCACCATAGCGGCCTCGGAGGACAACGAATTCAAAGAAGGCAAGTACCAAAAATTGATATTTTTCGGTATAACTTGTGTGAGCATGATTTCCCCCGGGATATTGATATGTTTCTATAGTAAATCAAATGTGTTAAATTCAATGGTCATAATGAAAAAAAAAGTTATTCTAGGATTTTTGAGTTATTGAAAAAATTTTTGATTTTTTCGAAAAATCAATAATCCAATCAATAGGAAAATAATTAAAAAATTTAATTTTCAAATGATCAATTAATTGTCTATCTATTGTTTTTTAAATTTCAGCAAACAAACATATACTGACATAGTTATGATTTTTTGAAAATTTAGACATTTTTTGGTATTTTTTGGACCATAACTCCCAAAAAAAAATGTTTACCAACTATTCCGTTTGGAATCTTAAATAACTTTTTACGCTCTATCCAACCATTCAGGTCTCGAGTTTTTTTCGAGGGTAACACTTGGGAGTCATTCCATGTAAGTTATGAAATTGGCTAAATGCTTGCAAGAAATAATCATATCGTTTGAACCAAATTCGCTACTTTTAAGGCTTCCAATTAAAAAAAACTCACCTTCATTGGGAAAAAATCCAAAGAAAATCCGAATAATTTGAAAAAAACTTCTTAGCGTGAATATATTAGGGGTCTGCAAAAGTAATGCGAGTCAAGTTTGGTGTTTTGTATCTCACCCAAAACAAACGGTTTGTGTTCAATTTTTTTTGTTTTAAAAAGCGCGTTCTTGGGCTTCATTTTGTTATATTATATTGCTGTTTCAATTTGATTTCTATGAAAAAAAAAACATTCTAGAAGATGTCCGACCAAAAATTTCGCCTTCGAGCATTTTTGCGGCACCAATTTAAGGAAGGAAAATCGGCTGCCGAAGCTCACCGCTCACGTTCTCCTGTATTCGGTGAAGAAGCTATATCCAAAAGTCAGTGTCGTCGCTGGTTTTCAGGAGCGGAGATGAAAGATTGGAAGATGAATCGCGCCCTGGTCGTCAAGAGCAGGTGGACAACGATGCCTTGAGAGCAGCAATTGAAGTGGATCCTTGCCAAACTACTCTCAGTCTCTCGGAGCAGTTCGACTGCAATTTTTCCACAATTTCCAGACATTTGCATGCAATCGGAAAAACAAACAGATGTGGAAAATGGGTCCCTCATGAGCTTTCCGATTCGAACAAGGAAAGACGTGTTGAAGTTGACAATATTCTGATGCGCCGCTCCAAAAATCGTGGTTTCCTCGATTCAATTTTGACATCGGATGAGAAATGGATTCAGTGTGACAATAATGGGAGAAAAAAACAGTGGCTGAGTCTTGGCGAGACCTCTAAACCGACTCCAAAACCGGACATCCACGGAAAGAAGGTGATGATATGTGTCTGGTGGAACACACGAGGTCTCGTGCATTTTGAACTTCTGAGACCTGGTCAAACGGTGAATGCGGACCTTTACAAAGATCAGCTGGACCGTGTGGACCAAGCTCTCAAACGCCAAGGCGTGGACACTTCGACAACACTCTTGCTCTACGACAACGCTCGACCACACACTGCAAAAATCATTGAGCAGAAAACTCGGGAGCTGGGCTGGGAAGTGCTGCCTCATCCGCCATATAGTCCCAATTTGGCACCATCGGACTATCACCTATTCCGATCCATGCAACATCATCGAAAAAAATTCGAAAGCGGTAAAGAAGTGCAAATTTGGGTGGCGGACTATTTCGAGTCACAGCGAGAGGAGTTCTTTAAGAAAGGCATCGCTGAATTGCGCACACGTTGGCAGCAAGTAGTGAACAATAATGGAGAATATCTTATTGATTGATGATATCTTGTTTTGGTTTTACAATAAAAGGAAGTTGCATCAAAAACGCGCATTACTTTTGCAAACCCCTGATATTAGTTCAGATATAGAGAATATTCGGGAAAATCAAATAAGGAACTCTAAAAAATCCATTCACTTATGGGATTTTTGGAGAACCCTTGAAAATGTGGACGTCTATTCAGGTAGTCGTCATAGGAAAGGTTATGAGCGGTTATGGGTGAAAACGCAGGGGCGGGGCGACGATCTAGTCACCCCTTGCGTTTGTCTGTAATTCCTGCGTTCTCTGCACTCTCCAATGAGCGCATGTGTGACTATCGTATCTTCCCATGATGACGATATCGTAAATCTGACAATCTGTAATTACAGTGTTGGTTGGGAAGACTGTCTTAACCCTTAGACAAGTTACATCCATTTTACAACACGGGAAATTTCATCATACACACACCACACAAATTGAAAAATAAGAAAGAGTATCGAAAAATTTAACCATGGAGCGATATCTTCAGAATGAAGCGATTCGAGCACAGGAGTTAAACTTCTGGTCGGAGGTTGACGGGGTGCAGCTTCTGGTCGGATCTGTTAGAATGGTCTTCGTATTCGAGAAATGTTTTTTTTTTGTCCCCAACCGACTGCCCAATACACTATTTTTTACGCTAGTTCAGTTTGGAAGATGTCACTAAAAACATAAGCATCATAATAAAATATAAAATATATGTGATTCATCTTATAATATTTTTCTGCTGTATCTTTTTCGAACGCGATGGCGTCGACAGAAATTTTTTCAAAAACTTAAAGAACAAGTTTTATGAAGTTATTGGAATAAAAAATCAAAGCAATTAAGTAGTAAAAGTTACAAACTTCTCTTGTAGGTGATTTTTTTTCAAATTGTAGGACCTTCTGTTCTTCAACGCTCCCATTTGCCGTCTCTTCGTGTCCGCTTCCACTATCGAGAGGACAGTGATTCTCCTACTGGTCATGGTCCAGCCAGACGCATGTATCCGTATATCACTGACGAGTGAGATTCTGATACCAAAAAACGGAGTTCAAGGTGGAGGACGTGCCGGGGAGTATTTCAATTTAGATGTTCCCTGTTCTTCAAGTTTCTCCATTTCTATATGGGTTTCGAAGCAGATGCGCTTCCAACCTATTCACTAAAGTGGCCACCATGATTGACGAATTTATGTTTCTTTCTCGCTGACTCTTCTTCAGCGAAAAAAGTGTACAAACGCAAGGACACAAGGTTGCCTAGGAGAGGGCGCCATTCAGGGGAGCCGGTAACTAGTGGTAACTCGCACGGGCTGTCCGCCCTCTCCACTCTCATTTTCGGCATTTATTCCAAGCTCTCATTCTATTCAACATCTCACCAATGGGTGCTAGTACGGACCCCTCGTGGGTTTCGTTTCTGGATCCATATGTTTGGCTGGACTATTTTCATATTCTTGGATGGTACGCATGTTCACCTTTTGTATGGCTTGGAATTTATACGTGGATCATCTGGCGACGTGTTGAGGCTAGAAGGAAGATTGGTAGAAAAACTTTTCTATTCGCCAAAACTGTCCTTCCAATTGTTTTCACAGTTTTCTGCGCTTCCGGACATTTGCATTTATCATTGGACCACCCAATCAAAGTGAGCGATTTTTTTTAAAGCAAATCATAAATCATTTATGACAAATGCCTTTTTTTTACTTTCAGGAATTCCTGCTTTATGTTTTCGCAATATCTGTTCACATTTTGATATTTGTGGGAATATTGATTATACAACCTGCGAAGGAGAAATTGGAGCATCGGAATTCGGATTTATGGATTATCCACTACCTAATTCTCATCACTTCCTGGTGTCTTGTTCAATGGTTTCTATATTTCTACTTCCCACCTGTAAATATCCCTTTTGAAATGGACGATGGAGGAAAACGATTCGCCGAAGTTCTAACTTGCGCTCTTTCCTTGTCCATCCCTGCTCTGGTGCTTGTGCTGATTGCCGAGTCTGTGCTCTGCTTTAGAGCACCATGTCTTGTTTATAAAAAAGATGGCGTGGATACCGGAGGTTTCTTTTTGATTCATGACGAATGGTTGGAGATAGTTCGAGAATCTTACGAAGTGAATGTACCAGTGAATCCAAAAAGGAAAATTATAGTGTCAGCTGCAGAAGGTCCAAGAAGAACGTTTAGAAATAAGAAGAATAAGAAGCACAAGCAGAAGAAATGAATCGGTTGCACCTGTTCGCGGGGCAACCCTCTAATTTTTCTATCACTATACACCATTTAGTGTGGCTCTCATTCTTGTCTTTTCAATGCAATATATTTCTTTTTTGTTTTTTTTTATCATATAATATTTTTACTTGGGTGGTATATCTCCTTGAATCTCATTTCAAAATATTCCTTTATAAAAACAAAAAATAATAAATGTGATAATTTTTATTCGAAAATTCAGCGACTAATCAATCGGTTATCTAGTGAAAAAGTGGTACAAACAACCCGGTTCATAGAAAAAGTGTTGTTGGTGAAACACTTATCTGAAAACGGAAAGAAAATTTAGAGAAAAATCATAACAACAAAGCAATGACAAGTGTTTGACAGGAATTTACAATTAATGTCTGGTGAGGGGAGTCAAAATTTACAGGAATAATGTTAGACAGCAAGGTCTTGCTTCTTGATGAGTTTGTAGTACCTGCCCTTCTTTTGCATCAGTTGAGCATGGTTTCCGGCTTCCTGAACCTTGCCCTTATCGATGTAAACGATGAGGTCAGAGTTTTGAATAGAAGAGAGACGATGAGCAATGGTGATACAGGTACGTCCTTCTCGAGCACGATCCAATGCTTCTTGTACTGCCTGAAATTCAGTATTTCGAAAAATAGTTTTTTTTTTCAATGTTAACTCACTCTTTCGGATTCTGAATCTAGGGCAGATGTAGCTTCGTCGAGCAGCAGAATCTTGGGGTCTCTGACCAGGGCTCTAGCAATAGCGATTCTTTGTTTTTGACCTCCAGACAATTGTCCTCCCTTTTCTCCGACATCAGTGTCAATTCCAGCTGGCAAGTTAGCAAGGAATCTATTAGCATTGGCAAGTTCTAAGGCCTTGTTGATTTTCTCAAGTGGCACATCCTTCAATCCAAGACACACGTTTTCACGAATACTTCCGGCGAATAGACGTGGCTCTTGACCGACAAGCGCCATTTGTGTTCTGAGATGGTACAGAGACAGATTTCGAATGTCTTGTCCGTCGATACGGAGAACTCCTCCGGTGACGTCGTAGAATCGTTCGAGCATTCCAATATTTGTACTCTTTCCGGATCCAGATGGTCCAACAAGAGCAACTGTTTGTCCACGAAGAGCCGTCCATTGGAGTCCCTTCATAATTGGTTGCAATGGTCGTTGTGGATAAGAGAATTTGACATTTTCGAAAAGAATGTTTCCTCTAATCTCAGGACGATCTCCTTCCATCAAATCTCCAGTTCTTGGCTTACGGTAGATAATATTGAAAAGCAAACCGGCTGCAGTTTTAGCTTTTACAAATTCCGGGAAGTACTGAGCAGAGTTCATGACGGCTACAGCTCCAAGCATCATAGAGATAATTCCTTTGAAGGTGACATCGGATGACTTATCACCGTCATAGATGACTCGAATACCAACAGCATATGTGAAACACATCATAAAGTACATGAAAGATTGGGTGATACTGTAGTTGATAGCTTCGATCATTCCCTTCTTCAATTCGGATCGTTTCTGTTGTTTTGAAGAAGTTTGGTAGTGGTCGAAGAATAATTCGCATCTAGTGAGAAGTTGGATGGTTTTCACATTTTCAATGATTTCAATGGCGGTTCTTCCCGCTTCATCGTTCTTGATCTGTTCGATGTTCATGAGAGAAATCTTGTAAGCAAGTCCGATCATAACGAAAGCCAAGAGAAGAATAAGTGATGTTCCGAGAATTGCAACTTGCCAGCAGTAGATGAATGCAATCACAATATTGGCAATGATAGCAGCAAGAGCGTAAATGACTTGGAGCATTCGAGCGTCAACAACAGCCTTGATGTTCGGAGCATCTGATGCAAGACGAGTGATAAGCTTTCCAGGGGCATGAGCAGGGTTGTCAAAGTAGGAAGCATCTTGGTAAAGGAGATTACGGAATGACTGGACGCGGAATCTCAGAGACAAGTTTTCAGAAACAATGGCAAACAGGACAGACTGAAAAATATCATATTAGGATTTTCACTAACTATTGAAACTACTTACACTAGCAACTTGAGAAATCCAAACACCAACACCAACCGAGGCAAAAGCAATAACAGCCATTGCCATTCTGTGCATCATTCTTCCACCGTATGGGACAAATGTGAATCCCTCGAACACCCAACCGAAGATAAGAGCCAAAGCTGGCAGCTCGAGACCTCTGATCAAAGCGAAAACAGTTCCAAGGAACATGTAGATATAGTTTCCTTTAGCGTTCTTGAAAATATCCAGATAACCAGCGGTGATTTGTCCGTCTTGAGCCATGACTTCCGCTTCATGAGCAGCGAATGCGTCATTCTCAGCGTCAGCTCTAGCTGATCTTCTGCTTCCAGAGAACGAGTCGTTCAAAGAATTTCCTCTCTGGAATGCTTCCGATCCAGATCTGGCACTTGTCATAGACGATCGTCGGGAGCTGCGGCTATTGTCACTGAAAAATAAATTTACTTTTAAAATCAAAATTCAACTTGAAACTCACTCTAAATCGATCTCTTCCTCTTCGAATTCTTCAGTAGCTTCTGGATCAGCCTTGAATTGTTGAGCCTTCACTAAATCAAAATATCTTCCGCCGAGATGAACCAATTCCTCGTGATTTCCAGCCTCCACGATTACTCCCTTCTCGAAGAACACAATTTTATCGGCTTCACGGATGGTGGAGAGTCTGTGGGCAATCATGATAGTAGTTCTTCCCTTGGCAGCATTGTTGAGAGCAGATTGAACCACACTTTCAGATTGAGCATCAAGAGCTGATGTAGCTTCATCGAGAAGTAGAATCTTTGGATCACGAATAAGAGTTCTAGCAATGGCGACACGTTGCTTCTGTCCTCCAGAGAGTTGTACTCCACCATCTCCAATCAGTGTATCGTATCCTTTTGGCATCTTCTCAATAAAATCATGCGCATTTGCCATCTTGCACACTTCAATCATCTTCTCACGAGTAGCTCCTGGGTTTCCAATCAACAAATTGTTATGAATGGTGTCGTTGAAAAGAATTGGTTCTTGTTGTACAATTCCCACAACATTTCTGAGCCAGTCGATGTTTAGTTCACGGACATCCGTTCCATCAATAGTGACATTTCCAGCTTCAGGCTCGTAGAGTCTAGTGAGAAGCCCAACAGAAGTTGATTTTCCGCATCCAGAATGTCCGACAAGTGCAACGGATGTTCCTGGCTCGACAGTGAGATTCAATCCATTCAAAATCTTTGCTTCTTTACGACTTGGATAGCGGAAGTGGACATTTTCAAACTTCACTCTCCCAACAACATTTGGAAGTCTCTTTCCAGCTTTGGAGTATGGGTCAATTTTTGGAACACGATCGATTGTTTGATAAATTGTGGCAGCCGATACTCTTGCATTGAGAAGGACCATCATGTGTGGGGAGATGAGACCCAAGAAATAAGCACCAAGAAGCATAGACATGACAACAATGAAGACATCTCCTGGAGATCCGATAATTCCAACCTTCAGAAGGTATGCACCGTAGAGCATACCAGTACCCAAGAAAGAGAAGAGACACAAGAAGAAGAGACCTCCAAAGAAACCACTCCAGAAACCTTTCCATACAGCAAATCGTCTTCCCTTCTCGAGTTCAGTTTGGTATCGGCCAACCATTTCTTCCTGTCCATTGAATGCTTGTACGGTTCTCACTCCCATGAGTGACTCTTCAGCAATAGACCCTGCTTTACCAACTCCAATCAATTCTTTGATAGTGGTAGAAGTCATTTGTCTGGCCAGAAGAGACATACAAATACAGCAAACTGGAGCCACTCCTAACATCATAGATGCAAGTCTCCATTCGTAGATATAAGCAACGACGATGGCGGCGATGAGCATAGCGAATCCTCTGAGGAGGACTCCGAGCTTGTCTCCGATACCTTCGCGGATTCTTTCCATACTGCTGAAAATCAAGAAAATGATTAGTGACAGTTCCAAAGTAAAGAATTTCCTCACTCGTTCAGTTTTGTCGTAATTGTTCCTGAATGATTCTTATCAAACCATCCAGCATTCTGTCGAAGCACTGAGTACACGAAACGATGTCTCATTTGAGCCATGACTCTTGAGCAACAGTGTTGGAAGCACATGTATTGAATCCAGTTAGTGATAGAAATGAAGATACCAATTCCAAGGAAGATGTAGACATTTTCGTTGGCCTTGTTTCGGAATTGCTTGCTAGTTGGTGGATAGACAAGAAGTGCATTGGTAACACGACCACTGACAAGAGCCATAATGGGTTGGGAAACACCAGAAATGATGGCGCAAATGGTACCAATGAAGAGAAGTAAATAGTCGAACCGCTTTCCATATCGGAACTAAAAATAGATAACTTTTGATGTTTTAATTTTCTTAGACATTGTTTTCAGAACAATGGCATATGTTTTTGATCTCTTTGCTCAACTATTTTTGCTCTCTCTCGATTAGACAAACCAAAAAGCACAAAACTTCTGTGCCCTAGTAGTATTTGTTCTTCTCGCACTTGTCGAGAGAATTCGACAAAATTTTGATACTTGTTTAAATATTGTCAAGGTAAGGAGAGCATGGTACACAAACATTGGAACCCACTAATTAACGAAATCATACTCACCAATCCAGGAATGGAAACCGGTTGAGCTTCGAGTTGTTGATTAGCAATATCACCTCTGCAGAGTAAGTAGTTTAGAATTTTCTCGAACAACGATGGAGTATATAGTTTCGGTGCGTCATCGTCATCATCGACATAATTGGCGGGTAGATCGCTTGCGATTTTCGGATCGGCTTTCGGATCGTTCACAGCAAGTGCTGGTATCGCTAGCACCTAGAAATTCAATTTTTAGAAGTGAGAAAAAGAGTAGAGAAATGTAACTTACCGTACTCCTCTGTGAGGGTCGACGTTGATCGTCGAAACCTCGATTATCGGGGTCGTCTTTGGGGGCCATGTTTAATTATTCGTTATGCATCGAAATTCTAGAAAATGGGAGATTGAAATATGGAAAAGCTTCTATAGAACAATAACAAATGTTGCGAAAGTATAGACTCTATAAGATTAGAAAAACTTCGAATAGAAAAAAATACTATAAAATTTGTTTCAATGGTCCTTATAAATAGTGTTCAGTGAATGAAACAATCTATACTAGTATTGAATTACTAATAAAGGTATACTACGGCACAAAAATGGACACAAGTACGAATAATGAATGCGAAATATAAAGGTCTGAAAATATGGGAAAGTTAAAACTGAAACGTTTGTGTGAAACAATGCTTCTTGTCATTTGCCACCCTCTCCTTAAGTATCACTCCTTGGGGGAGTAGAGGATTCGTAGTGGGAGGAGTCACCTACAAAGTTTATTTGTCGTCAAAAAGGGTGCTGGGCGTTACGTACCAAAATTTTACTTGTGAAATGAGCACACGACATGGCCATGTTTCTTGTCAGGGTTTACTGTAGATCGTTACAGCGAGACAGTACCAATCGGGTATAGAGACGCAGCGCTCTCGTGGTTTGTGAGCAAACGAATTGGGTCGTCGGGGAATCCGTTGGCAGACAGGAGGAGAGAGAGAGAGAGAGAGAGAGAGAGAGAGAGAGAGAAGGGCACTAAGGTGGACCAGTTCAGAAGCCCAGACTAATTGTCATCATTGTTCTGAGGATGTGCTAATTTGTGATGGCGGTAGTAAAAACGGAAAGATTAGAACATCTCTGCCACGGAAACCGAGAGATCGGATTTTTTTCAGATTTTCGGAAACCAAAAACACCATGAACTGAAGACCACCCATGTAGTGTGTGTTTAGAGTTATCGTAGTTGCCAAAGTGGGATTGAAGCAATAATAAATGTTCATTACTTTTGGAAAAATAATTTATAGTTACTGTAACCCAGAAATTCTTATGTCTCTTCTATGTTTCTCTAAACTGGTATCCATTTCACGTGTCATAGATTTTATTTCCCTCTGTTGAAATAAATAAAATAAATAAATAATTAAATAAATAATAAATCGAATAAACAAAAATTGAAACTATTTTTGTCCAGGGGTAATGAACCCAATTTTATTGCAAGGCACATTGTCGGTCCTGTAAAAAAAAATATTTTGAAATAATCATTCATTTTGACCCATTTTTGGTTGCGGGAATTAGAAAAATAGGATAATAGGATAATTTCGAGATACAGTATCAGTTCATTACAAAACCGTAGCTGTTTTTACTGCTGAACCGAAAATGTGCCTTTCAGACATTTCGGCAAGAAAGTTTATCGCCGTCGGACAGAAATAATAGTAGTCTGAATATTTTTTTCCGGGTTTTTTGGTATCGGTTTTTCGGTGGTCCCATATTCTTCATCAAAGATTCATCTAGCATCTCTAGTTTGGAATTTTCTTGTATTAGCAAACAAGGTTGCTCAACGTTGTGCAATAAGTTTTCACCCTTTTTCTTGTTGATTTACGTTTACCTTCATTAACATTTAATTTTTTTTTGACTGTCTTCGATTTTCAAAGTCCTTTCAGATTAAAAAAAACGACCTCCATGAACTTCATTCTCCTGCCAAATGCGTTCGCGCAAAGATTATGATTCTTTTGTGTGTATCAACGAGGACTCTTTTCCTTCAAGTACAATCGGACTACGCGAACTACATCTACTACAAACTCTTTTTGCCACTGTGCAAATGTCAACAGTAGGAGAAGTAAGAAAAACCGCGAAAAATAGTGTTGTAATGTTGATTCTTGTAAAACACGGAGAGAGAGAAAAAGAACAAATGGTTTGGCACCTTGTTCTCTGTTGATCGCGGGGGGGGGGGGGGACAATTTTCAACAGGAATCACTGATCTGGTTGGTGTTAGTCTTTTCACAGAGATCAATCACAGTACGGGTCACAGAAAATTTGTGGCTACTTAGTGATGGTTATCTGTGGTGGCACTTTTAAAATTTCAAGCTTTCAAATGAACAATTTTATTTCAAAAATTCTTGTTTCTGAAAATATAATACAGGATAAATCAAATTCCCAAATCTTGTTTTTGAATTAGCTCGTAGTATTTTCCCTTCTTTGCCATTAGTTGCTTATGATTTCCGGCTTCTTGCACCCTCCCATTTTCTATATACACTATGACATCCGAATTTTGAATCGAAGATAATCGATGAGCAATGGTGATGCAAGTTCGGCCCTCTCTAGCTCTATCCAGCGCTTCTTGAACTGCCTTAAATATTTGAAAATATATTTTACTCATAGAATACATAATCTCACCTTTTCTGATTCTGAATCCAGCGCAGATGTGGCTTCATCTAGAAGAAGAATCTTAGGATCTCTAACCAGTGCTCTAGCAATAGCAATTCTTTGTTTCTGGCCACCAGACAATTTCGATCCTTTTTCTCCGACATCAGTCTCAATACCAGCTGGAAGATTAGACAAAAACCGATTCGCATTTGCCAGCTCCAACGCGTGATTAATCTTTTCCATTGACACCTGAACATTGGTAACATAAATATTTTTGTTTGACATGTGGATTAGGTTTCTCACGTTTTCCAACCCAAGACAAATGTTTTCTTTGATGGTGCCGGCAAACAGTCTGGGCTCTTGACCTACTAGTGCCATTTGTGTTCTGAGATGGAACAACGAGAGACCTCTGATGTCCTGTCCATCGATTCGAAGGACTCCTCCAGTGACGTCATAGAATCTTTCTAACATTCCAATACATGTACTTTTTCCAGAGCCGGATGGTCCAACAAGAGCAACTGTTTGTCCTCGAAGAGCCGTCCATTGGAGTCCCTTCATGATAGGCTGGTGGGGACGTTGGGGATATGAGAATTTGACATCTTCGAATAAGATATTTCCTCTGACCTCGGGACATGTTCCTTCCATCAGATCTCCGGTTCTTGGTTTACGGTAAATGATATTGAAAAGCAACCCAGATGCAGTCTTCGCCTTGACAAATTCTGGGAAGTACTGAGCAGAGTTCATCACACCCATTGCAGTCAGTAGCATGGCAATGTTTCCTCTGAAATGAATACAATGTTTTCAGCTAGACGTATGCGACTTACTGAAAAACGTCTTGGGAAGATTTGTTGCCTTGATATATCAATCTGATGCCAAGAGCAAAACAGAAACACATCATGTAGTACATGAAAGATTGAGTGATTGTATAATTGACAGCTTCAATGAGTCCTTTCTTCAATTCGCTTCTTTTTTGAGATTTTGACGATTTCTGATAACGCTCAAAGAAGTGATCACATCTAGTCAATAATTGAATTGTTTTCACATTCTCGATGATTTCAATCGCAATTCTTCCTGCTTCATCATCTTGAATTTGTTTCATATTCAACAGAGAAATTTTGTAAGCCAATCCACACATGGTGACGGCCAAAAGAATAATTAAAGCTGTTCCCAGAATTGCAAGATACCAGCAGTAGATAAATGCAATTGCGATGTTCGCAATAATTGCCGAGAGGGCATAGAGAACTTGAAGCATTCGTGAATCTACTACAGTTTTGCAGTTCGGAGCATCTGTCGCTAGTCGAGTGATGAGTTTTCCTGGTGCATGTGCAGGATTGTCAAAAAATGATGCATCTTGGTAGAGTAAATTGCGGAATGACATTACTCGGAAACGTAGGGCAAGATTTTCGGATACAATTGCAAAGAATACAGACTGAAAGTATATATTTTCAGAGAAACGCAATCAATTAACTTACACTTAGAAATTGAGACACAAAACATCCAAAACCTGAACATCCGTATGCAATAACCGCCATTGCCATACGATGCATCATTTTTCCATTGTCCACAGTCAGATACTGGAATCCTTCAAAAACCCAACCAAACAAAAGAGCGAACGCTGTCAATTCTAATCCTCTGATCAATCCAGTAACAAATCCCAACAACATAACAGTGTAGTTTCCATGTGCATTTTTGAAAATATCCAGGAAACCAGCACTGATTTGTCCATCTTGTTCCATAACTTTTGCCACTTCCTCAGCAAATGCAGCATTTTCAGCATCAGCTCTTGCAGATGATCTACCTCCGGCAAACGAATCAGCTCCAAGTGTTCCGCGCCTGAATGCTTCTGCTCCTGATATTCTGCTTCTGATGGAACTAGTGAACGAAGACTGACGAGAGTGGATAGCAGTTGCAGATGGTCTGAAAACATAATTTGTATACATTAATTAAACTCATGAATTACCCCAAATCAATATCTTCCGCTATTTCATCATATTGAGAAATTGGATTATCGTCAGGTTTGAATGCTTGTGCCTTCACTAAATCATAATATCTCCCTTCAAGACGAACTAGCTCTGCATGGTTTCCAGCTTCTACAATAACTCCTTTCTCGAAGAAAACTATCATATCTGCTTCACGGATAGTAGAAAGTCTATGAGCAATCATGATTGTAGTTCTTCCTTTCGAAGCGTTATTTAGAGCTGATTGAACAACACTTTCAGATTGAGCATCCAGAGCAGATGTGGCCTCATCGAGAAGTAATACTTTGGGATCACGAATAAGAGTTCTGGCAATCGCGACACGTTGCTTTTGTCCTCCAGATAGTTGTACTCCACCATCTCCAATCAGTGTGTCGTATCCTTTTGGCATTTTTTCAATAAAATCATGCGCATTAGCCATCTTGCAGACCTCAATCATCTTTTCTCTCTTTGCATTTGGGTTCCCCAGAAGAAGATTATTATGAATAGTGTCATTAAACAGTATTGGCTCTTGTTGAACAATTCCAACCACATTTCGCAGGTAGTCAATGTTCAACTCTCTCACGTCAGTACCATCAATCGTCACATTACCAGTTTCCGGTTCATAAAGTCTTGTCAGCAATCCGACAGATGTTGACTTTCCGCAACCAGAGTGTCCGACGAGAGCAACGGATGTTCCCGGTTCGATGGTGAGGTTCAATCCGTTTAGAATCTTTGCGTCTTTTCTAGTGGGATATCGGAAATGAACATTCTCAAATTTCACTCTACCAATGACTTTATCCAAAAATCGTCCTTTCTTCGAATATGGATCTATTTTTGGAACTCGTTCGATAGTTTCATAAATTGATGCTGCAGCAACTCGAGCATTGAGTAGGACCATTAAGTGAGGAGAGATTAAACCCAAAAAGTATGATCCCAAAAGCATTGCCATTACAATAATGAACACATCTCCTGGTGAAGTGATAATTCCAATTTTGAGAAGATACGCTCCATAGAGAAAACCACATCCTTGGAATGCAAATAGCCAGAAGAAAAAGAGGCCTCCATATAATCCACTCCAAAATCCTTTCCATATTGCAAACTTTCTTCCTTTATTCAATTCTACTCGATATCGTTCCACCATTTCTTCCTGTCCATTGAATGCTTGCACAGTTCGAACACCCATCAACGACTCTTCTGCAATCGATCCAGCCTTTTCAACACCTCCAAGCTCTTTTACTGTTGTTGCTGTCATTTGCTGAAATTATTTTGGTGAACGAATAAAACATTTTGTGTTAGTTCTTACTCTAGCCATAAGGGACATACATCCCACGCAAGTTGGAGCCACTCCCAACATCATACAAGCTAATCTCCATTCATAGATATATGCAACAACAATGGAAGCAAGCAGCATAGCAACTCCACGAATTAGAACACCCAATTTGTCTCCGATTCCTTCTCTGATTCTTTCCATGCTACTGTAATAATCAAAATTTACAACACTATCCAATGCTCATTCTTCATACTCGTTTAACTTTGTTGCAATTGTTCCAGAGTGGTTCTTATCAAACCATCCAGCATTTTGTCGGAGCACTGAGTACACATATCGATGCCTCATCTGCGCCATAATCCTCGAGCAGCAATGTTGGAAACACATGTACTGCAAAGAAAAGTTGGTGGTAACCAGTTTCGCGCGTTTAGTTGTTTCCTAAACTACCTGAATGTAGTTTGTGATTGTCACAAAAATACCAATGCCAAGAAAAATGTAAACATTCTCGGTTGCCTTGTTCCGAAACTGTTTTGTGTGAGGTGCGTACACAAGAAGAGCATTAGTGACGCGGCCACTTAATTGAGAGAATTGGTTTTGAACTGGGGGGTGGGGGGGGGGACTTTCGAACTTACGCAATAATAGTCAACACTGGTTGAGAAATTCCTGATATTATAGCACATATGATACCAATAAACAGGAGAAAATGATCGAATGCTTTTCCATATCGAAAAAGTCCAAAAATCGAAACGGGGCGACTTTCATAGGTTTGTTTGGCAACGTCCCCCCTTAAATTTGTCTATTGATCAATAAGAAAATCATAAATGATTACTACCTGCAGAGAATATAATCTACAAATCTATCAAAGCAGGAAGGTTGATAATCTTTTCGAATCTCATCATCATCAATGAATTCGATTGGAGCAGACGTTGGTTTTGGTTCAGATACAGCTAATGCAGGCGCAGCACGGATAGTACTTCGTCTGGAAATTTTCCCAGTATTTTCAGGTCCCGCTCGAGGTGGATCAGCAACAGGGAACATTTCAACTCATTCGGTTTGAATCTGAACGAAGTTAATTAAAAGATAAAATATACAGGTGGAATCAAAATCAGAAAATGATAAAAAATAATATTGAAGATTGTAATTGACTGTTTCAAATCAAGATACCAAAAAAGTTGGAAAGTCCGAAAGGCCAAACTGCGATTAAAAACTGCCAACCCGAGTCTTTATATATTGTCATCTTGGCAGTGTCCACGAAGGTTCCGATCGGTCTAAAAGATTACATAAATTTGTGCCAATTTTGTATGTTGTAGATACTTGCACATTTTTCATTGGCCTTCCACAAAGAACTCGCGCAACTCTATCCGCGCGTCCATGAGAAAGTACTGTAGACAGAGATGGGCAGACAGTGTCGGTGATCATTGTAACAAGGCTAGATAGTCTGAACTTTGGAGGCTGAAACTTCTCTTCTAACTGTCGTAAGAAGTATCTTTTTAATTCAGTATTTCGAGTTTCTGTCAGTCAAGTAGAGAATTTGAGATCAAAAAATATACCAAAAAGTATTTTTTGCCAAAATTTTCAATCGAAGAAATACTGAAAAAAAAATTGAAACAACGGATACCAAATTTTGGTTGAAATTCTGGGTTGAAATGATAATTATTTAACAAATTTATGAAATATTATCAGATCTCCAAATTTTTCGGTAGGTGCAGGGAACATTTCGGAAGTTTCGATTTGAAACCAATACAATTTTTTTTTCAATTATACTCAGTATTTTTCGTTTTCAGATCACCTGAACGTTTTTTTCTGTTTTACGATTTGACAATTTTTTCGCTAGTTTCTTTTTTGGTAACCAACCAAATAAATGAAAAATTATTTGGTCCCAGAACAAAAGAAACTAGGAAAATTGACTCTTTGCTGAATTTAAAATGCTCGTGAATACATTAATACTTTTTGTACAGTTTTTCATTATCATAATTCTATCAAAAATGTATAAATCTCAATTTTTGTAATTTTTTGCATTATACCTCGATGTTTTTTTTTTGAATTCCTCTTCGAATAACTTAATTTTTATTTCTTCATTTCATCTTCGACTCTTGATTTCGCAAATTCTTCAGTTTTCAAAAATTAATATTTTGATCTCAATGATTTTCAGAATTCGAGTTTTTCAACCCGCCCAAGTATTTTAACACATTGCCTCTCTCCACATATTGACATATTTGAAAGTACAACAACTTGTTCGCACCGACCAATGTGTACTTTTCAAGTGTCGGGTTCACCGGAAATAGACGCTTTGTGCTCGGAGATGCTCATCCGACTACCAACTACAACATCTAGATGTAGTTGACACACACTGTCGTTTCTTCCAGTTCTTAGACCGCCAATGGAAGAAAAAACATGTGCCAATAATGTACTGTTTGTTTATTTCGGTTTTTTGAATGACTGAAACCCAACAACTGATTTCAGAAGGGACCAAGAAATCAATTGCTGATTTGTCGGAACAAAGTGTAAAGATCAATGGAACAACTGTTGGGAACAGAGAAGACAACAATATAAAAGACAGGATAAATATAAAGTGAGTATTTTTTCTTCAAAATGTCAAAATGTGGGTTTTTTATTATCCTTTAATTTGAAAAATTAAACATTTTAATCTAAAGTCCTTGTGAATGCTAATGAATATTCATAAAATATGTTTGAATTAACGCTCACAATTCTATTTTGTTTTGTTTTCTAAACCTCCATGACATCAATCGGCCACCACGTGAACAAAACAAAATTTCAAAACAAGAAAAGTTTTCAAATGTTTTGGCAATCATATTCCAATTTTTTCCTGCACTAATTGGTTTGCTTCTCGAATTTTTTCATATAAAACATGAGATATAAGCATCGAATTATGCTTATATCTCATTTTTCCCGCAACCTTGATATCACTTTTTGAGATTTTTTTTTCAGAAAAGACACGTGATTTTTCATGTGACTCTTGAGACTTTCTCTCTTGAATAAAACGAGACAAATCTTCCAGACTCTTTTCGAATTGCCGCTAATTTTGTTTGAGCACTAAAAGGAGACATCAGTTTTTTTTCAAAAAAAAAATGTTTTGAAAAAGAAACAAAATTTTACTCTTGATATTTTCATTGATTTGTTCATGATTCATGGCTCTGAGACATTTTGCCACGATGCAAGCGAATGGATAGGTTTTTAATTTAGAAAAAATAATTTTAGTGTTTCAAAAGAGGCCAGACACAAAAGTCTACTGGGTTTTCTTTTGGCGGGATCATGTATTCTGACGATCAAGCGATTGCAAAAAAAAATCATGCGATTGCGACCAATGCGCGCTACTTGACGACAATTTTTTTATATACAGTAGATTTCTTCACTATTTGGCAATTATTCTCGACTTTTTTCTCGTTATTTTGCCATTCTATGATGTCGCCGCATGAAAACAGAAAAAAAAATGAAAACACACACAAATGGGAATCGAACCCTCGATGGACGACTGATAGACAAGCGCGCTCACCTCTACACCACACAGCGCCTGTTGTCTACTGCCGCTAAAACGATTCTGAAACGAGAAGTGGGCACCGCTTTAGCCGCCACTTGGAAGAACGGTCGCGTTCTCGCTTGTACAGTAACCGGGAGTTATGGTTTGGTGTCCATTGTTATTTTCTGACTGTACTGTGACATATGTATATCAAGAAACTAGAATTTTGAAAATTTTCGTGTCTGGCCCCCTTTAAAGTATCCTTTTCTTTCTGGAAAAGTTCAAAAATCAGTTTTGTGGTGTTTTTTTCAAAATATCATTTTCGAAAACCCATAAATTATTTTTATAGTCGGAAACATATCCATTCGTCTGTATTATCCCGGTAGCAAAATACGGTGACAGAATGTCCCAAGCCTGATTAATGACTAATAAAAAATAACAACATAGACAAAAAATGTTTCTGTACTTGTTGTTATTTTGTTTATTTCGCTGTTTTTCACTGTCATTTTAAAAATTGCCACAGAAATAAAAACGAGTTATTTTTTTATATATTGTAGATTTTGTGATTATTGTCTGAAGACGTGTAGTGTTCTTCATTCCTTGCAGTTTGCCTCGATGTACTTCTATCACGCCATTTGTATGGCATGTATCTCTGTCTGTATAGGTACTTCTCTGCTCCTCCTGTTCTATATCGTCTCTCTAATTCTTCCGACTCATCATCATTTTCTCCAATTGACCTACGTAAAAGTGCTGCAGCATCATTATCAGTTCTTCTTTCCCTTTTCTCTCATCTCTCTTTTTCATGATTATTTTTGTGTGTATATGTAGTATCAGAAGGAAAGGAAATGGGAGAGAGAGAGGGAAAGTTTAATAGTGGAAGTTTGGTTTGAAATGCACTTTCGTCAAGTTTCTAGTGTTTCTGAACTCTTGAGTGGAGTAACATATCAGGCCTAAATTTTTTCAAGTACCAAGAAACTTTTTTATACATTCATAAGTTGTCTTTTCATCATGAGTTGCTCATTTCCAATTCCCACAGAAAAAAACATGCCCAATTTTTCCATACACTCCCTCCTGCTGAGTATCCATAACTACTAAAACGTTTCATTCAAAACATACACTTTCAATTCTCGTCTAGCCAGAAAAAATCTGGACCACTATTTTTCTTTTTTCGTGTGTTTCCCATGGAGAAAAAAACCACGAGACCACTTACAAGCAGTCTTCTTTTCAAAAAAAGAAAAAAAACGACTTATTGCATTTTCAGGAAATGCGATTTCCTCTCATTTTTCTTCTTATTTCCATTTTCCTACACCAATTTCCTTCTCATCGAATTTCCTCTTTCATCTTCATCGCTGGGAATCATTATACACCCTAAATCATCCCGTCTTCTTCTTGCTTTTTTCTTCTTTCTTCTTTTTTTTTCTGTCTTCTTGTTCCAAGAGCACACTTTGGACATTCCCAGAAAACATTTCTAGCCGTCCTTCCAAAATTCAGAATCATGCCACCAAACGTTTTTTTTCTCGCCGAACTATCAATCTTCGGAGTTTGACAGTTTTCCGATTAGATGGCCAGATTGTCGGAAGCGATAAAACATCAAATCTTGGCGCCTGGCAGAAAGAGAAACTTGAATTTGATCACTATGAATTGTTGCTGAAATTAAGTATTACTCTATTTTTGAGTCAGATTTTTTGAAGTAGACAATTTATCTGAAAACTTTAAAAAAAAATAAATAAACGTTTTGAAAACTGTTTTCAAATTAAAAATATTTTAAACATTTCAGGGTAGAATGACTTGAAAGTAAAATTCAGATGGTCATTTGGAATTTTTTCGATTTAACTTTTTAAAAATTATGGACCAACATAAATAAATTTCTTGCTCCTTTTTCATGCAATTTACTAATTTCATGAAAGTTCTTGGAAACATAATTTTTTACGACGAAAAGGAATAACTTGAATATTCATTCCAAGCAAAAACTAATTTCCGGATTTTCGTAATTGCCTTCTGGTGATATAGCTCACACAGCCCCAATCTCTCTTCACACCAATACTAGACATACATTTTCACATCAATTCTCTTCAGCCACATTTATCATATTTTGCAACTTATATATGTGCATATTCCTCATCTTAATTGTTCATAATCACGTTATTCTCCCCACCACGTGTCTCGTCGTGTATCCCATTCCCTCAACAAAAAAAAAGGCAAAATGTCACATGTGTTTTGAAGCACCCATAGGTCAATTTTTCTAGAGCGATGAAGCACATACACACTCTTCCACCTATGTCCTAAACTTTTGATTAATTGTCTCTCCCATTCCTCTCTCGAAGGATTCCGCCAATTTTTACCCATTTCTCTTCCATTTTTCCTTCTTCTCACGCCATGTTTTCCTCATGAGAAGGAAAAAGAGAGGCAAAGAAAGTGCATTTTGATCCAGAAGAGAAAAGTTGGCGGGAAAGAAAAGAAAGAGAAGAGGAAAAAAAGCAAAAAAACCAAACAAACTTTAGTTGTGATTGAGTCACTGAAATATGTTTGTAACCTGTTCAATTTCATGTCCCGAATATCTCTTTTTTGAAACTAAAACTTTTGGACATTTTTATCTTTTGTAATCGTGCCCTCTCCACGTGGTTTGGAAATTTGGTTTCTTTTTTTTTTGAAATTTTCAAACTACATAGTTTCTACTTTTTCATCTCTTCCATCCAAAGTTCGTGGAAAACGGTCGAAAAAATTTGGCAAATAGGCAACTGATATGCTGGACAAATAGACAACCTATCGGCATGTTGCCATCTGTTTTTCTTGTCACTTCCACCACGTGCGTTGGAAGCGAAAGTGAAAGGCAATTTGAATAGATGGGCGTAAGAGTGATAGTTTGAACCTGTCTCAATTTTTACGTCTTTTCTTTTTTGGGTTTGAAAAGTTAGACTTTTGATTTTTGTGGCCAACTTTTTATGAAATCCATGATGACTCACGTTTTCTTATGAAATTCGTTTTTTTTCAGTTAAACCATGACTAGTACGATATCTTGCAAAGCATGTAATTTTGGACAGAAATATATTGAGGTATTTTTTTTATTTTGATTTTTTTCTAAATTTTTACTTCCAGGCGGATTGTTTGCTGTCAGATCAAGAACTGAAACGGTTGCGAGAACACAAGTATTCGGCAGTGGACAACAGTTGGTTAGATGAGTTGTGTATGAAAAGGTGAGTGTAGTATACACTGAGACTTTGTGAAAACCGAAAGTTTGTTTTCAATTCAATCAAATTAATGATTAGAACTTTAATGAAAAGTATGTCTGAAAAATCAGGACCTGGGTGGGACGGGCCGAACCGAGCCGGAGATATTAAACCAGGTCCGCTGGACCCTGGTTTTTCACAATTAAAAAAATTCAATGAAAGTAAAAAAAAATTTTCAAGTCAAACCACTTTTTAATGACACTACATTTTCTGTGGACTTCGTTTGGCAGAGAATTTTTTTTCTGAGATATTTTTCGAAAAGACAGAAAACAATACTGGAAAACCATTGTTTCAAGTACATCCGTTCACAAATTCCCAATTTTCAGATGGTGGGAATTTGTGATCACATTGTGTCCGATGTGGATCGCTCCAAATTTAATCACATGGATTGGTCTCGTTATTAACCTCATCACAGTTCTTATTTTATCATCGTTCAGTTATTCTGCAACAGAGCCGGTGAGTATTCAGAAACATTTTAAAAGCATCTCCTCTCTTGTTTCAGGCACCATCATGGGCATACCTTCAAGCTGCGTTGGGATTGTTTTTCTATCAGACATTGGATGCTATTGATGGTAAACAAGCCAGACGGACTGGGTCGAGTTCTCCTCTCGGTGAATTGTTCGATCATGGATGTGATAGTATGACTCAAGGTAAGCTACACATTTTTAGTAATTGTCTCCAAACTTCGATTTTCAGTTTTCGTCACACTGAACATTTGCTATGCAATGTCGCTTGGAACCGTTCCATATGGAGTGCTCATTGTATCTGTTATCTCTGTTGTTATGTTTTACTGTGCCCATTGGTCAACTTATTGCACTGGACAGTTGCGATTCTCCAAGTTCGATGTGACCGAGGCTCAAATGTCCGTTATCAGTGTTTTGCTGTTCACAGCCTTGTTCGGAAACGGTGTATGGGAAACTCATATCGTTAGTTGTGATTATACTTATCAGTCCAATACAAAAAGTTCAGGCGTTCGGGTACACATTGAAATATTTTGTCATCTCATCTTCATTCTTGGTCTCACTCTACCAAATCTGGGGTTATGTCCATGTTATCTTCAGCGGAGGAGTTGGTAAAAACGGATCTACAATTGCTGTAAGTACAAAATGAAAGGTATCCCAGACATAGTTATGAATTTTCAGGGCACTTCTGTGATCTTCCCACTTTTTCCACTTCTGATGGTTGTCGTCCCCTTCATCATGATCTACAACAAAACCGACTCCACCGTATTCGTCGATCACATTACTCTGTTTTCGCTGTGTTTTGGAGCTGTCGGTGAGTCAACGAGGGGCCGTTTTTCTTTTTCATTTTTTTTTCGTGAGGACCCCTTGTTTTTTTGACATGTTTATATTCTCGATTCTTCTTCGTAAGCAACTTGTGTATCCGGTAGCGTTATGTCGGCCTACGTAGGTGCTTGCTTGACACAATAATTACTGTTTGGTTCCGAGAAAAAAGAACTACGTAGGCGGAAAAGGAAACGAGGTTAGGATTGAATTTATTACGAAAGTTCATAGGTTGAAATATGACCAATGAAATGCTGACCACTGGTACTATTTTCGGGAATTTCAGGAGCCAAGGCAACCAACCGATTGGTGATTGCTCATATGTCAAAATCTGAGCTCAGACTCTGGGATTGGATCTATGTTGGACCACTTGCTCTGATGCTTAATCAATACTACAATTATGTTTTCGATGAATACATCTTGCTGTGGATTGCTACGGTATAGAGACTAAACCACTCGAGTCCTAAAAATATATTTTATTTTCAGATCTATTGCTATGCCTCTCTTTTCATCTACTGCACTGTTGTGTGCAGACAGTTTTGTGATTTCTTGAATATCTACATATTTGTTCTTGGACCAAGAAACTCAAAATCGCAATGACTAGCTTTGGAAAACGTCGAACCTAACAAATTCCTCAATAACAGAATGCTGCTAGGAACTTACGACGAGGAAGATCTAATAATTGTCTAGTTTCATTTTTAAATTTCTCATCACAATGTCATTTTTGTCATAGGCTTGTATTCTGTTTCATTTTCCCTCCGGCACCAATGTTTTTCAATCCCATGTCACCCCGTCCCTTCCGACATTCATCATATATGTGTTCAATTTTTTTCTTCTAAAAATTATGTGCTTCATGTTTTCTTGTAAATAAGAATCTTTCGAAAACGCCAATCCAATTTCAATGGAGACTATGAAGATCAAGATGTGAATGGCTTTGCTATGAGCACACAAACAAACAGTGTGGTCTGAAATTGCCGTCTAAAAATGGCTAGTCAGAAATGATAGCTCATAATTCGGGATTATTAGCTATATAAATATAAGATTGACTTCAATTTTTCAGAGTGGTTAGAAATCAGAGAGTGGGAATTATTCCTTTGTAAAAAACAGGAATAGATCGTGTTCGGATAAAAATTTTGGAGGTTCCTGGTTTCCGAATTAGAATTAATTGAATCATTGACTTGTCAAATATTTTGCATGATTTTCTGCTGAAGGTATACTAGCTAAATCTCGAGCTGGTCCGGACCCTTTTTCTGTTGCTCTTAAATACATTTCTATTTAAAAATAATCATTTTGAAGTTTCAGAGTCCCAAAAAGCTTAACCCAAGCTCTTTTGTAAAGCCTCTCAAATTGTGGAAGCGAACAAAATATAGAATATCCCCAAAAATTCAATTGTTTTTCAAGAATAACTCTTTTGAAACTTCGCCTCCAAAGTCCTGGCCCGACCAACAAGATGTATGGTTAAATGACAAATAAAACATTATTTATATTGCCGATCGATGAGTGAAAATAAATTATTACCCGTACAAAAAAGTTTGGAGAAGATCAATCGTGACTGTGAGGAAGTGAGGAGATCATGTTTGGGACATTTTTGTGAGAAACCTTTGCACGTATTGGGAACAGAAGTATTAAAAAATATGAGGCAACAAGTATTTGATGTTCAGGTAGTAGCTGTTGTGGCAGTCAACAAGCGAAAGTTCTATCAATCACCTCTATTTTTTCTGGATTTTTCTTCTTTTATTTCTGTAATGTTTACACTAGTCCCTTCAAAAAAAAGAGCTAAAGTTCACGACACTGCTTTCCAGAAAAAAAGAGGTGAATGAATAAACTTTGAATAATTAAGCGACTGATGAAATGAAATGACAACACATCATAAACGTCGTAATAGTGTGTGGAAGGCAGATGGAGAATCAGAAAACGGAAGTGAACTAGGCTTTCGGGGTAAGAATCACAAAAAAAAATGACGACACATTTTTATATCTAATGTAGAGGTAAGTAAAGAAAAAGATCCGAACTATGAGAAACTATCACAAAAATAAGAAGCATTGAACAATATATGACAAATATGGTGACCCTCAGGTCTTGGAATACCCTTATTGTTATAGCCCAGTTTTGAGGTTTGGGGTGAGAAACAAATATGTAAGAACAGATACGATTGATAGTAATAAGAAATCCTAAAATGATTAAATTGGAATTTCTGCTTTGATGGTGTAGACAAAGTCGTCATCGCCATCTGCATTCACATTTGCCTGAAACTTTATACAGTAAAATTTGAAAAAACCATTTTAACACTAACCTGAATTACTGGAATGCAAGCTAATGAGATAGTCTCAACGGCCTCCCGAAAAGTGTTACAACCATCGTCCCACATTAATACTCTGACCTGAAATTTAGAATTTTTTGAAACTTCAAATCTTCATTTTGATAAATCTCACTTGATATCGAAGATGTTCACATTCAAATATCCGTTTCCCTACTAATTTTGCATTTGGCCTTGGACAACTACACTTCACTTCTGTTAATGCTGCTGGTAACCTCTGAAACAACAAATTCTAGAATATCTCAATTTTTCCTGATTACGGTACCTTTGGATTATAGTTTAGCACATATTCGAACTTGCATAACGCTCGATCTCTCAACGGAGTATCTGCACTAATTTGGTCTTGCTTCCGACTGTTACACTTGGATGAGCTCTTGGTGATCTGCTCACCGTGTCTTAGTCCCTTTGTCTGCTGAAATACAAAAGAACAATTATTGCAGTGTCGTGTTAATACTGCCCAGATTTATTTACACATTCAATGAATGAGATGATCGGATGAATAAAGTGTTGCAAGTTATCCTTTTCTTTTCACTACACGAGACGACTGCTCGGAGATCATCATCACAACAGTGACATCATTTGGTTGTAAGTGGATTTTGAGATGAATCGTTGGAACTTTCAGAGAGAGCTACGTCATCATCTTTTTTTCGAGCAGAAAAGTTTACATTTTGAACTTTTGCAGGCAAAGTTCAAAGATATAGATTGTAATCATGATCTGGGTTACGGTAGCTTGGAACTGAGCAGAAAGAAAATCAGGAACTAGTTTGACATTTTCGAAGTACTTTGAACGACAAAAAAAAATGTATTTCTGGCCTTCTATAATTTTTTCTTCTGTTTTTGTCATGTCTAAACATAATTAGCACTGCTTCTAGAACTTCCCCCGGACTTGTTCCTCATTAAAAAAAAAACTATCCGATGCTTTCAGCTCTTCCATCCTCATCCCCATTCAATGTGATGTCCGAAACTGCTACGTTCAAAAAATTTCGCTCACTAATAACAAATTAGTAAACTACGGCCCCAACATTTTTGACTAATTAAAAATGGCTGGATTAGTATTGAAATGTTCTTTCATTGGTCAAACGTAAATGTCAGTGGCACATTCTCCCAACTCATCTTCCACCTACGCTTGAATAGGGACGTGAATATAGAAGCAGAGTCCACCCTCACCCTTATCAAAAGAAAAAAAGAAGAAAAGAACACGTACCTGTAATGTCAGAAGGGCTTGTTGAAATGATGGAGCGATGGGAGAATAATGCGACGAATTCTTGCGATTCAAATAATTGGAAAACACTTTAAAATGATTTTCTTCATTATATTTATTGTAGCATTCATCAGTGACTATCATGTCTTCTTCGTCACTGTCCAGATCCCTTCGTATCCTCCACGCGCTGAAAAAAATTTGGGTGAACATTTGTTTGGAGTACTAAAAATAAGTCTGATACTCTATCCTCGGAAAATGTTCTAAATTTAGAATAAACGTCAAAAAGTCCTAATGGGGCTTTGACAAATCTGTCGCGCGAACACATAACAACACTTGAAACTCTTCGTGTCCCTCAAAAAATGTTAGTTTGTTTTTTCAAATTATTTTCAGATAACTAGAAAAAATTCGTGACGTTGTTCTTGTACGTATTCCTCAATTCGAAACATAACTTTGACGAAAGCCGATGGGATTATATCAATTTACGGGGGATTTGTTAACTTTTATTGAATTTTGAGTTCCTTATTGGTTCGGCTGGCAACAAAATAAACGTTACACGTGGCGACTAAATCTTGTTAAAGTTATACATCATTCACTTGATTTACTAGCAGTAATCAGAACCAAAACATACAAATTTTTGTATGTTTTGGGTAGAATTCAAGTCAAATCGAATCAATTTCTAGAAAAATCAGAATTGTACCCCGTCTCCCTCAAAAACAATGACGGGATCTGATCATTGTCCATTTTATATTGTGTTGATCTTTAAAATTTTCCGGGTTTTCATAGTTTAATATTTCGAATCTGTTATTAAATTATTTTAATCTTCGTACTGATCACCCGTTCATTTAATACAATCAAATTTGTCATCATTTCATCTATTTTTGAAAATTAATACTGCGTATTATATCTTTCAAAAATGGTAATGAATCTAGGCTGGTGTGATTGTTGAGTCATAAAATGGCTAATAGAAAAAAGGAGAACACGATGAACACAAAATAAAACCTCTACAGTAACTCGAAGACACTAATTAAATACACACTTTTCTGAGTCAAGACTTACTGTGAAGCTAGGGCAAAATGGGATAAAACAATTAATAAGGGGTACAGCGACGGAAAATTTGTCCTGTGTGGAGACTTTGGCATTTCTGAAAAAAATTTAGATTATTAGAAATGCTGTAACAATAGTGAACACGTGGCGATCAAAAAGAAAAACATGAATTTGAAATAGCAACACAAAGAGACCAAGTATACAAAAAAGAAATTCATTGATGATGAGAGGATTTCAGGATTAAACAAAAGTTCACAAAACGTAATCACCCCAATTCAGAACTTTGTAGTGCATGCACGATTTTCTTGTAGTTTTTTGTCCCATTCAAATAAAGATGGCGTTGCTTCAGAACGTAAAACGATAGTCGTTGCAGCGGCTCCGCCCATTACGAGCTTAGCTGGTCGCCAAAAATTTGTTCATTGCAATTGGTTTAAATGGGGTTGAAAGATTGAAAGATAGTCAAAGTCAAAAGCCGCGGTTGTCCCCAGTTTGCCTACACCCCTCCCTCTTTTCCCTTCCTTTCTCATCATCATGGTAAACGTCAAAAAAATGCACAACACTAAAAAAAATACGGGAAAAAAGTTGGGGTGGGAAGAAAGGAGTGAGATGAATTGTGCTGTCTGTTGCTACTACCTTAGCCAGCAGCAAAAAAAAACAACTGGAGAATAATTCGAGTTGGATAATGGTCCTGAGGACAATAAGTGACGAACAACTCCTCTTGAAAACGATAGGTATTCAACCTTGGTGGGCGTAAATAAACTGACGTGAAGTTCAAAGTGGGGAGCACTTCAGAGAAAATGAAGATAATAAAGAGGAAGCAATCTTACTGTACTTAGTTTGAAATGAGAGGGGTGAGATGCACAGAAATTGTGGAGCTTCCCTCGCTAATTTTCAGAGATTAATGGATCAGACGAATCAGATCAAGAAATCAAAAAATACAGAGTGTGGTCAAGAATGCAAAATGATGTGGAATAAATACAATCGTTAGAACAAACTGGTACCAAAAAAGCACAAATTGGAAGTGCAGAATATATTGATGCTACAAACTCAAACCGTAGAATCCATGGTTAACCAAAATATTATGATTTCCATAAACTAACTAACAAACCCCAGTAAATAACTGGTCAAAACTATTCTGACATTAATTAATTTCATTTCTCCCAAAAAAGGCCCTCGAGGTTCGGTACTTAGATTTTCAATATAATCTCAAACACGATGGGTACTGTAGTAAATCTTTGTATGTGGCAGTGTGTGAATTAGATGCGTCAAGTGACTACAAAGTTTAGTTTTGAGATCTATAAGGCAGTTTGTTAAGTAATTTTGTTTTCCGAAATTTAGAACTTTCCGAAAACAACCAGATTATAATGACACCTTTAGCCCTCGACTTCGAGCCAGTTTATCTAGGTTCCTGTGAAATATATCAAAACGTTATTACCTCATTGAATGATTTAAACCATATGGTGAAAATTTTATCAGTTGGCAACTTTTTGATATCTTCAATAGAAAATGAGAGATATTAGCTCGAAGTTAACGATTTGAGAGGCATTCTATCAGATTTTTCACGGTAATAGATTTCCTCAGATTATAAAAGCTCTCAAGATCTTGAAGTTTTACAAATTTGAACGATCGTTGAGCTGGGAAAAAATCACTAAAAATTGAACCACTTCCTTCGGTTATATAATAATTTAGGATTAGTAATTTAGCTTTCCGGGAACGCTTATAAAATAAAATTAGAGGTTCTTATTTTAGTGTATGAAGAAAGGAAATAGCAAATTGAAAATGAAAATAAATGCGGAACTCGATTCATTTGAATAGTTATAGACCAACACGTAATAGCACTTTTGTCTAACCAATTTTACTTTAACTACGCTTTGATTTATGTTCACCTGTTCGTCTGAAAAGGCCGAACGCTTGGAAAGGCTGAGAAAGCCGGCAAAAGGAAAACTGTGACGAAAAACCTCAATTTCAGACTCTGCGTTCCAATAACAAACACATATAGTACGTCAGCTAAATACTAAGAACACAAATGTTTTCTACAGTTAATGACGAAGAGTGTGCACTCAGTAATTGGGGGATAAATGTCTAAAAATCAGGATAAGAACTTTGAGTCGTGATGAAAACATGAATATTCATGAAATTGACGATATGAATCAACGACTTTTTCCTCTCCAGCCGTGTGATTGAACTCTAAATGACTCGAGAAATGAGGGGGTATCGCAATTAAATATTCTTCTTGTGTGTGTGTGTGTTTTTTTTTTTTTTGCTTCAAAACGTTGCATCCCACGAATGAATGAGTTAATGTTGGTGTTTAATGTGATTGATGTTGCGAAGGTGAGTTTTTCTAGTTTTTTTTTCTCCAACAGCTGAAAATATGATAAATCTCAGATATTTTTTCTGGGAAAATGTTCTGAATGTGAGCTCTCTATCTGAGTGGGAGGCATCTATAATTATCGAAAGTTTAAGAGATTTGTTATTTCTTTTGTCATTCTGGAACAGGAACTAGTAAATGTTCTTATTGTAATAAATGTGAAAAATTTGAATCATATCAACTTTGTCTAAGAAAAGTTAGTTGAACGCGGATGTTTCGTAATATGTGTCCATAATGGCGGAAAATCTAACTACCGTATCTCTTGAGCCTATTTTAAAAAGGAAGAATTTTCGAAAAAAAAGCTACTTCATTTTTGTTCAAGCTTTCATTGAGGGTTACTGTAATTTATAAAAATCCTGTACTACATCAACTCCATTTTCATGTTAATTCTTTGTTTCTGGTACTATTTGTCTATGTCAGCTTGTTCTTCATCAGTACTAGAATCACATTCAACGTCAAAAGTTTCAAAGTATAGAGAATATTTGTGCCAAAGAACATTAATTATGAATGTCAAGAGATAGGGATGTGACGACAAAATATTAAAACATTTCCGCATATAAACCCCATATCAAAATAGCGCTGGGCTCTCCCCAAAATCTATTGAGAAGCACAAAAATGATGACGACCTTTTCACTTTGCTCTCCTCCCACCCAAAATTTCTCTGTTTCCATTCATTATATAAAGATGACACTCCACACGCTCTCGTGGCGACAAAAGAATAAGAAAACTATTGAGAAAAGCCTTCAGATATAAAAATAGAACACAGGAGGAGTTACCGAATTTGTCTGGATTAGACACTTCGAATAGATGTCTCACACTCATTGATCAAACGGCGTAGTAAAATGAGATAAATAATAGAAAAAAGAAAACGCGAGATGGGATATAAAAAATTGACGTGATGTAAAAATAATAATAACGAACTCTTGGAACATCAACCTTCCGAATATTTACCACAGAAAGAACGATCCTAGGAATTGTTATTTTCGAGGCCAGAAACTGAAGATTACGGTAACTCAGAAAATTGCTATGAAGTATTGGAAGTGTATGGAGGTAATATACATTTGTTGACTTCATCACCGTCAGAATTTTATGTAATTTCAGAATTTTTCCTGATGAAAAAACATCTAGAAAAATACAAAAGGATGAGCAATGTTTTGAATAATTCAAAAGTAATTACCATCATTAAAAAAATGAAAAATGAAGGAAAGAGAAGAAACGTTACATCGAATGAAGCCAAATGGGGAAGAATAAACTGTTTATCTCAGTTTCGGAATGCTTTATCACTAGTTTAATCCTAGTATCTCCCACGTTACGAAGTTGTTTCAACACTTTCAAGGGCTTCCAATGATTCTGTTTTTTGAAATTCGAGAATAGCTCAAATTCAGGGCGGACGATGTCAGTGTGGGCGGGGGAAGGCAAAGGATTATGACCCACAATAAGAGCTGTTTCTAATTTAGTACTATTTCGTGTTGATCCAGTGGACCCTTAAAGGATTAATTAGAATTTTTAAATTTCTTATTTCTCTTCGGATTTTTTCACAAAAAAATATCTCAAAAAAATCATCAGATGGCATATATACACTGCGGGACATAATTATAGGTCCACTTGAAGTTTTGTTCAATTTCCAAAATCTCGAGAAACCTGATAAACGTTCCTGGTACTAGTATTTGAGGGATTCATTTTTCATGTTACTTTACGTATCCTTTCCTGTCTGTCTTTTTTGATTCAAGAAAAATTTTTGATTTTGTCAAAAAATGAAAAGTGCAAAAGGACATAATTATAGGACCACTCTTGAAAAAACATGTTTCTGGCTGAATTCATGGGATAAAAAGTTAAAAAATGAGTTCTACGCAAAAAACTAATTTGAATTCATGAAACTTTTTGAAAAAAGTATTAGAAAATTTGTTGGGAAAAAAGGTTTTTTGGTGTTTTTTGACCAATATTCCTATTCTTCAAATTTTCGAGTCTACATTTTGGAGGAAGCTTCAACCTCCTTCTAAATTGATATAATAATATTTTAAACATTGGTTTACACCAATTCCTAACTATTTTTTTGTAAGTTTCTTCGTTGATATCATACCAGAAACAGCGTTTCTCCTCGTCATTCGGCACTGATGGCCGTGATCTTTGACAAACTTTATCTCGGTCCGCAGTAGAGCAATGAAAAAGTATTCAACTGCAAAAATGTGTAGCATAATCTCAATAACATTGTACCAATTGACTTTATTTTTCTATCTCTTTCAGGAATTGTGATAACTGTAGTCGAAAAGAGCGTAAATGACAGCTAGGCTAACGGAAGATTTGTAGGAGGATGTCTTGAAAGAAAAAAGTTCCCAAAAACAAGATCTTTTGTCGTCCGGTATACCATAGTCTGAAAAATTTGAAATTATGTAGAAAAAACAGATAAAAATAATAATTGGAAGAAAAATAACATTAACCTAGCTGTCATTTACGCTCTTTTCGACTACAGTTATCACAATTCCTGAAAGAGATAGAAAAATAAAGTCAATTGGTACAATGTTATTGAGATTATGCTACACATTTTTGCAGTTGAATACTTTTTCATTGCTCTACTGCGGACCGAGATAAAGTTTGTCAAAGATCACGGCCATCAGTGCCGAATGACGAGGAGAAACGCTGTTTCTGGTATGATATCAACGAAGAAACTTACAAAAAAATAGTTAGGAATTGGTGTAAACCAATGTTTAAAACATTATTATATCAATT